TGTCTGTGATTCGGATGAAATAAATTAATTAAGATAAGATTCGGATTAAAGTAAAATTGAACTATCCTAGGGAAAACTTTGGGCTTGATATATAGATCAACTCTAGGGGTATTCCAGTTCAAAGCTAACTTTTTACAATGTCTCTAGGCCTACGGGAATAGATAGTTCTTAGGATTTATTTCTCATTCAAACAGCTTGTGTTATGTAACTATTTAGTTGTTATATCTGCACTGTTAACATATATATCCTGACGCACCAGTCACAAATAACTCAAATACACTCGAAATGAGCGCAATTTTCCTCTGATTACAGTGAGGTGAAAACAAAAGTTGGAAGATACCGGTTTGAATTAAATTTGTTTCTTGGTTTTCACAGCATGAGATTTTAAACAAAAAGCAGAAAGGAATTGTGAGGAAAATTTGATTGCGGTGGGCACAGGAGGAATTCGTTAATAAGTAGTTCGTGATCGGCGTGAAACCTTCAAAATGTTAGACTACTTACTGGGAACAGTTAGATTCAACTTGATCAGAAATCAATTATTCTTTTAAGCTCAAATTTAACAATCAAGTAATAATCTTCTCATCTGGGCTTTTCAATTCAACACGTTTAATTTTTAAAAAGAGGTTTTGAAAATAGATTTGCATACATAACGACCGTCAAATTTAAAAGAAGACTTTTCTAAGAAAGCGATGTGTAAGGGAAACAATTATTACATCATAAAAGTATTTAGTGCGCACTGTAATGCAACTTAAAAAAGGCTTAATTCATGACTGACCAAAAGAATTAAGAATAGCTAAGACTTCTTCCGATAAATATTACTAATTAAACGTTAAGTTTGGATCCTCCAATATTATAGTGCTGTTATTTTTCTGTTCGCCACAGGACACCACGGTGACTCGCTGGTTATTTATGGTTTTCACAAAAATTTATGTACACCTACGTATCACGGCGCGGCATGTGGTTTGGCGATTATAACGAAAAATAAAAGTGGCTATAGCTGCTTCACGTTTCCTTCGTTAAATTTTCATTTTTTCGTGCATTCATCTTTTCATTTATTCAATCATTTGTTTCGTGCATTCATCTTTTCATTTATTCAATCATTTGTTTCGTGCATTCGTTCGTTTATTGGCGCCAGTTTGTTAGGACTTGAAATCACTGTTTCTTGTTGAGAGTCCTTATATTCCGTGAGTTGCTATGGATGTTATGCAAATCATTTAAAAGGGTTCAGCTGTAGAATTATCAAATACATGTACATGACCTCCCCAACATCCAAAGAATCAGCAATAAAGGTACGGTGTGTTTTACGTGACGCACAAAACAGAAAATATTACATTTATCGTGAAAATTAATCGTCAAGGTGGTTTCAAACTTAAGAGGCCGTGAGTGCCATCGTTGAGAGATTCATGCCGTTGGTGTACTTAGCTAAGTGGCGAGCGAAAAATCTTCCAGTGGGGTACAGCTTTCCAACTGTATGGACGTTTTACTAGAAATTTTAAATATTTCCAAGGAAACATGATATGGCATTCCTCGCTTATTAATAATTGAATTATCCAATCACGTAAAGGAGTAGAGGCACCATTGTGCCGCAAATGTCCACTACTGCATCGCAGCTGTGTTTGCTATCGGGTCATAGTACTAATTCACAGTGAAAAGCAGAAACAAATTGGGTTCGTAGGCTAGAGTTTTACATCTGGACTCGTTTTCGATCCCTAACTTATCGCGGTAGTTGTTTCACGGGTGAGTTGATCCAAGTTTTCTTTTTTAATGTATATAAAATGAGCCTTTAACTGATTCTTCCGCAGCTCAGGTAATTCGATGCTTCCTTTACTTAGCTGGATAGACTTTAAAAATATAATGGCTTTTTAGAATCTGTTTCCGATACGAACGCAAAAACACTGGCTTGATTTTACAGCATAATTTTGTAAAGTATACAATGAATTATTTTCAGTCTAAACTAATTTCGAAAGCTACCTTCGGTAACCAAATCGGCGTCAGTCGAGGTTTTGTATTGAAGGTTCGGTACGATTAATTGCACGAAAACAATACGTCACCAGAGATTATTCTTTTTGTGCAAGTAAATATTATATCATGTTATTTGTGTTTGTGGTTTTTGGTTATTGTTCGGCGTTTCAAAGCAAGAGAGCACCGTTCATTCAGTCGGTTTATCTTAAAGCTTCATTCTTTTTTTCTCCTTCAATAATTTGAATTTGAGTGATTTCCCATAATACAAGTTTTCTGAAAATAACTTTGATTCGCCAACAAGAGCACTGAATGAAAAGATGGCTATGAGCCATTGTTTCTTTTATTCGTTCGACGACGCACAAAGAAAATTGTTGGACGTGGAATCAGCTTAGGGTAGTTGATGATATTTTCATCAAACTATGCCCTTTGCCACAGGAATCAGAAAAGTGTTCCTCCCTACCCTCCCTCTCCCCCCCCCCCCCCCCCCACCCTTATGCCATGTCGAAAGAAGAATCTCATTTCGGAGACATTTGTGTTCCAACATGGAGAGCTAAGACTGTCGAATTAACAATTTCCATGAATTTCTTTGAAGTAGCATTATCGTCACAATTCAAGCAGGGTACATTTATCACAAATTCTGACCTCTACAAGCCATTACTTCATTTTTCTGTCCACATATCTTGTAATTTCACTAATTATAATAACTCTGAGGTCTGCTCAAGACTTAGGACTGACAAGTGCTCAATCAATACTTCAACTAAGCCGACACCATCTGTCAAAGCGTCACAAAAAGGAAATTCATTCATTCATCGCATTAACGATGCTTTTAATTAAATTTATGCGAAAACAAGTAATGAAGCTTTCCTAAATCATTTATTTTTGTTCATATACAGCAGTTTATTACGGCTGTCTGTTGTTGAATCTGTGGACAGTACTTGTAAACCACAATCTCTCAAAAAGGTAGAGCGATCGAATGGTCTTTTTTGTATTACTCTACTTTTTGGACAAGTTTGGGCTGAAGACATCAAAAATTCCCTCAAAATAATTCAAGCGGGTTCGTAGTTATAGGAAGTGGTAGCAAGCCAGCAAATGAAAGCTGAAACACAGGTCGTACAGACAATTCCCTTCGTGTAACGTGGATACATAAATTGTATCCCAGTTTACTTTTTAGAGCTGCACACACAACGCCGTCTGTGGCCTGTTTGTCGCCTTGATCGAGTGTCAGACAGGCCTTCAGTTGCTCTCTGCGGCGAAAAGAATGGTCAGTGAGGCATCGTTTTCTTTTCCGTTTTTCTTTAAAGACGCCTAATTGAACATTCCTTCAGCTTTCAATTTTACCATGATATATATATTTCTTTTTCCTTGTTACTCTTGTGTTATAAATATTTCATGTTAGGGTTTACAAATGTCTTTTACAACATGGCCACCCAAAATATCGGCAGAAATGTGGGACAAGAAAACGATCGTTTTCTTTCCTGATCATGATCATGATTCAGTGAGAAGTATTATAATGCAGCAAAATATTCATAAAGTTAATTATTCAGCGGTTGGCAAACTCAAGGCAATTTGGAATTTCAATTTAAAGATAACTTTTTTGTGGACACAGTTAAAGGCTCAAATTTGCGGTAAAAGGGAACAGAAGCTGTAATCTTTTTTTATATTAAACTTTTGGTTATTTAGCCTGGGTATTTACATATACAAAAAATTTCAGTGACATTTTCTCTGTTGATTGATAAGCAGGTAGTCTGCTATATGCAATTATCTGTCTGTAGGAAAGTCTTATGATAATTGACTTTGCATGAACAATTTTTATTTCAAAGGATTAAACCTGCCACAGTTCAGTTTTAGCTGTTGGATCTGTGCCAAATATAACAATATTTCGGACCACGAAGGTTTCGGGCAAAACGCTAAATAAACTGTTAGCTTTCTGTTTTTTTCTCTCGATTTGGCGCAGGAACCGTGGGAGAGAGGAGATTAGGACGAGACATAGCACGTCCTACATTGTTCTGATCCAGCCCTTCTCAGACAAACCGACACTGTCGCTTTTAGCTTTCTCTCCAAGCTCTAAGGACTATAGGACAACATGATATTCTTAGGGGGGGAATATTCTTGAAGACCCTCCGATAGGTATAGGTATTCCGTCCGTAAAAAAGGGAAATTTAGCGTTAGATTATGATTGAAGTGGTGCATGTTGGGATAAGCTGACGATTAAGGGTTTCTGCTGGGCTGAACTTGAGTATATAACGGACTGGTCGTCATTTATTTTAGGGAGTGTCGAAGGATTTTAGTTGCGCTGAATTTACCCGATAAGGCTCTGTAATAATCTTATGATCAATTATCATTGGCAGTCAATTTTCAATAGTCCCCCCCTTATACCTTGTTAGTGACGACTGATTCCCCCCTTCCTTCCTCCTAAAAACCATGTTATCCCCCTCAAATTCCCCCAAACTCCCTATCATCCCCCTCTCAGGAGGGAAGTAACGACTGATCTCTAACTACCAAGCTTTGTTATTCATGCTTGATTACTGTCTCTAACTGTAACTGCTTCATCAGACGCATCAATACACTTATAATTGAATACTGTGAGCGCTGTGATTGGCTGTTGCGTTTGGGCTATGAGAATATAGAAGTACAGCTGACGTCAGTGATACGCTCGCTTGAGACTCATTTGCCATTTTACTTATTTCACTACTTTGAGACGTCATCAGTGATTTAGAACTCAACAGACACATGGAATAATGGAACCCATCTGTTAAGCAGAGTCTCTCAAACCGTAAGAATTTCATACCTAGAGCTTGTTCCAAACTACAACTAACATAATTAAAAATGCATGTTCAATATAATCTTTTCATCAGCATTGAGTTTTGAACAACAGGAAGTTCAAGTCATGACTCCTATAAGCAAAAATATTTCACCGAATCCTCCACTCTTTTAAATAACTTGAAGAACAACAAAAACAAATTTGCCATCCACTTAATCGCTGTCATCAATTATTAACTATAAACAACACGTCGTTGCATTTGGAAGTATAAGTATGCTATATCTGCTGACTCATTATTCATCGTCATATTTAACTGCTTCACCGAGCTCTTTGTCACAAACATTACTTACCGGATAAGAAACTTTTTCTAAGGGAAATAACTTGAACCAGCTCATTACAGGAAAACTGGTGACTCATTCCTTGACGGAAAATTTATACTCTGATCACCGAGCCCCTAATACAAACACTGTGTACAAGAAGAGAAAAAGACACCTAGGGACACATACGAACAGAGTACTGGGAAACTGGTTTGGTTTATTAAGGTATTATTGCTCGTTGTTAAATCAGGAAATTGCAAACCACCTTGAATTTTAAAAACGAACGTGCTTTAATAACAACATGATCATCATTTATTTAGTCAATATATATATTTAGAACAGCAATGACGCAAAATATCAGGTGATATCGTGGTAAATTCATTATGTTGGAGAGTTTTTTTTTATATTTTGCAGAATCAGGCGTCCATCAGCCGCGTAATAGCTTCATGGCAAAAGCTTGTGGTTAGCACGTTTCGCACTCTGACAAAAGTAAAATAACAACTCGGCTGTATATCTATGATTAAAGTATAGATTTTCAATACACTTGTTTGCTAAGATTAAAGACTGTTGAATAAGATTACTTTACACATACGTACTATACGACATATATGTAAAATTGGCCTCCTACGGTGAAAATAACGCCAACTTTGAAACCTTTAGATTTACATTGATATTTCATTATCAATATCACCTGTTCGATGATCACATGACTGCACATGTTTGGAAAAACCATTTGCATTCCGTTTATATTTGACTGCTTGTTAGGTATTTAGGTTTCCAAGCGCAATTTTAACTTACAGTTTCAGTTTCATTAACAAATTTTCTATTCAGTCCCAATCGCAAGTGTAGCAATGACTTTGAATTGACGCTCGTTACGCCGGCTGACCAAACACGGATAAAATTTTATTGATAAACCTCTTTAAAAGCGGTAGTATGCTAAACTACTTTTCAAATTATGCGGACGAATTGTTTTTTTCCGCCTACGTCGGCCTTCCTGTAGAAAGCGTGTCGGAAGTTTCGGTCGAGAAGTAAGTGTGGTTAACAGTGCGACAATCGTTCGCAAAAAGTACGGCACGAAGGTAATGTTCAAATCTTTATTCTAAACTTCAACGGCCATATCATAACGATACATTTACATTAACATTTACTCTTATATGATTAGTAAACACAATGTTGTGGGATTTCTCAAATGTAAAAAAGTAGAAGAAAAAATTTCATGCGTAAAGATGCCGCCATATCTGCCAACTTTATTAGTATTTTTCAAGAAATGCTGTTTAAATTTTACAACTTGATGCTTCACTTGCTGTCTTTAAATTAACATTTGTGCACAGTTAAAATAGAAATTTTTCACAAGACAACTGTTAAGTTGAAATGAAAGATTCCGCTCACAGCTGAGTATTGATTCAAGCTGGCTCGTACGTGTGGATCAATTCAGTGAGTTTAAAATGCTGACTTTCACGATTTTAAATTGTCACGTTTTTATGTTGTTTAGATTACAAATCATTTTGAATGAGATAATTATGTGGAATGGAAATATTTTATTTCAGGATTTTCTTTTAATGGGTCAAAAGACTTCGAACAAATGAAATACACAACAAGTTGGAAATTTAGGAAAAAAAACGGATAGAGTAAAGCTATTACGACAAAGTCCGATGTTGTTCTCGTAAAATAAATTTGTCATCAATCGCTTAAGAGTAAAATTCTAATCATCTGTCACATTAACAAACCAACTCACGTCTTTAGGATATTGCCGAATATCGTTTGTAGCGCACTTCTACAAAATGGAAAAAAAAATAGAAAAAAATAGCGTTAAATGCATTTACTTTTTCAAATTATTTTGACTTCCTCGCAGAAAAATTGGGGCGGACCGAGCTTTAAATTTCATCGACGCCTTGAAGTCTACATCATTGTTATTCAAGCCCTAAGGCACTCGGTTTCATATCTATGGATGAGATGCACACCTTGAATTTTACCAGATAGGTAGATTGAAGATTTCTGCGGTATGATCTAAAATTTTCACGTAATATGACTTGCGTAATTCAAAATATTAATCAGAAAGAAATCAAGGTAATGTCATTTTTCCGATCTTTGTTTTCATCATTAAAAACCAAATCAAGAACAAAAAGTGAAAACTCTTCACGCGTGCAGACAGATCTTAATTTTGTGTTTGTACCAAGAGTCCGAAGTTCATAGTGTGTTTCTTTCATTATCTTGGCATGTTGTTGCCTTAATATCGTAATTATAGTCATGATGTATACCTGTACGGTATAACTGATCATTCTGATAAGAGATAATTTACAGTGAAAAAGCATTTTTAATCATGTATACAGAGATAACAGAGAGACTGGAAAGGAAGCTAATAAGGGTTAAAAGCCTGGGAGAAGGTCTCCTTGAAGTTAAGGAAAATATGTAACAATTGTGCTCCGGCGAAAACGAATTCATAATTATCTGAGGAACACTGAATCTGCGCGTCTGAAGAGCAGTCTCGAAAGCTTTTATATAAAAGGATCGGTAACATTTTTTTCTTCATCATTAACAGGCTTGTGGATCGATTACAAAATTTTTAGGTGGTAGTTGTCAGAAGATATAAAAGTGTCTTTGTCTCTTGCAGATATATAGTCCAGAGCGAGCTCGTCGAAATCTTGGCCAAACCGCACTGGAATAATGTTACGAGTTCTGATGTTGCAAGTTGCGGTGTCCATGTTGACTTACCAAACAACTAACGGTAAGAAACAAACTCTGGCAAAGTGTAAGAAAGCTTTTAACTTATATACCTTTCAAGTGTTTTGAATAGCGCTTGTGAAGTTTAGGCGTAAAAATATGGTTTCAGGTAAAATTAAATTAAAGCTAAATTTCTATCAGACTCCGTGGTATATCTGCTATAAAACATTTTTGGAAGGGGATGAGGCATGTTGAAATTTAGATGAGAGGGAGGTCTCAAAATATCGATGACTCTAAAGTGGTACATTCAGGAATAACATACACCTCCATGATTTACATGATACAGTGTTGATTGAAAACAAAGTACTTGAGGTTAAATGAAACATTAAATTCAAAATTATGGATGTTGATTATATTTTTAAAATGGTTTCTGTTATTTCGGCGTCTATTTTCGTTTGATTGCGTTTGCGATTTGAGTTAATGGGCTTGGTTTGTTTTTACTATATAAGTACATTTGCATTAAGCTATTTCACAAATAGAAAGTTTATTGAATGAACAAAAAAAGTTGTTATGTAATGTACTTTCACCATATTACTAAGAATCATAGCTTTTTAGCTATCTATGGCTTTTAGAGATGAATGAAAGAAAAAAATAACGTTCAAAGTACACAGCTTGAAAATATCTTCATAATCCATCACGCTAACCTGAGCTGCATGCAAGATCTCCCTCAATCGGAAAAAAAACGAATGCTCAAACATACGAACGTACTGTAAATCTATGCACGAACACACACACACACTGGCAAGCACGAGCATAAGTAAATAGGTAAGTGAATATCTCAATACATGAATGTATTGGACCGCAACTTTTGCGTTTATTCATTAAGTTTTTGCAAATAATTAAACGTTCTTGCGTTCGACGCAGCTTTTCAACAAGTTGCCACCCAAATTATGTAATTATCAATTTAGCAAAAACCTTTAAAGCAGCAAAAATGCATGGATAAAAAAGGTAGAATATTTAGTACTTTTAACTAAATCTTCTGTATTTCTTTAAAAAGCGGAAAGAAATTTCTCTCGCAACCCTCAACAGCGGTTGTTGGACGATTTACTTGCGGGCTATGACAGAGATGGGCACCCAGGTGGCGGACAACGAGTCAAAGTGGATGTAGGCGCGAAAGTTGTACGGATTGTCAACATTGTAAGTAAACTCACAACGGGAAGCTTTGTAGGAATATTCAATATTCAATAGCGTTGCTTTTGTACCCGTCACTCTGATTTGTGATTGGTCCAGAAAACTCAACAGAGCCAATCAGATGCTGTACTTTAACCAATCACGATTCGGACGCTCCCTTTTCCCCGTGCTTCAGGCGCCTTGCTTTATTTTGCAATGTTCTTAATGACAGTCGTATCATTTCTGTTTTTAGGATTATCAATCGACATGAGCTTCAAAACAGTAAACAAAAGTAAATAAACTTGACCCCGTGCCACGGAAAGATCCAATCTCGTCTTGAGACATAACTGGAAAATTCTTGGGTTCTATTATTTTACAAAAGACCGCAAATTATAAGATTCAGATAATGTGATTAAAAACTAATCAATACGCTTTTAATTAATCATTCTGTTAAAAATAATTCTTAATAAATTAATAAAATACTTGTTTCCACCCCTGTAGGACGAGAAGAACAATGCTTTGCAGGCTCAATGGTGGATGAAACAGGTCAGTTTTTTTAATTTGTCTCCAACAAAGCTAAGCAAAGTAACTATAAAAAGCTACAATTGTTTGAAATGCAATCCAGCCTTCATGTTGTTGCTTTTAAGATATGCTATACTGTTTGGCTAAAATTTAACAGACTCAGTACGTAAAGCGTCGCAAGATTGCTCTACTATGACCTCTCTTAGATATTCTACTAATAACGGCAGAGTTTGTCAAAGATGGAAGAAAAACGTGGGAACGATAATTAAAATGAAACAGAGACAGCTCATCAAGCCCCTAGCTGAATTGGTCCATCATGATCAAAGGCACGCGATGCGTACAGAGGCTCATTACGCTGGTGTTGCATTTTAAAATAAACAGACCAAAAATTAGTTTTTAAACAGATTTTGTAGACATGAGCAAGTTACAAGTTTAATTACTCTTAGGACTGGAACAATCCTGACCTCAGATGGAATCCAGACGACTATGATGGATTACAAACGGTTTATGTGGTTCCATCAAAGGTGTGGGTACCAGATGTTTTGTTGTACAACAAGTAAGTGCATGATTCTAATTTTCTTTCTAAAAGACCGCACGTTCTTGCAATCCTTCAATGAATTAATTCTTCAACCTTCTTCAGTGAGCAAGACAGAATTTCTCCTTAAGGTTTCAAAACAATATTAAGCAGAAAAGTGAAGAGAACAAAGAAAAGTATCAATTGGAGATTATATGTTGATCCAATAACAAATTCTCCAAAACCAATGAGATCTTTGGAGTAAAAATGTGAATCTTATTATTTCCGTCGTTTAATCACGGTGTTCCTGAAACAATATTAGTGCAGAATTCGTTGTCAACTGGCAGCAAGAACTCTCAGACTTAAATTCAGTTAATTAAATCCCTGATCAACATACCAAGTAAAGTTTATTTTTCAGCGCTGACAAAGAAATGGATGCTGCTGGTGCACTGGAGAAATACAAAACCAAAATTTCCCTGTCCTATGATGGAAACAACTCGTGGATGGCGCCAGCTATGTTCCAGAGCATTTGCAAAATCGATATCAAGTATTTTCCTTTCGATGAGCAACACTGTCAAATGAAATTTGCTTCCTGGGCTTATGACGTCTCAAAGCTTGACGTTTACGTCAATCCTAAAGAGACAGGTCTACAGAAAGGGATTTACCAGCCGTCCAATGAGTGGCACCTCGTTAGTGTCGATGCAGTGAGGAATGAGGTATGCACAAGTTATCAAATAGTACACTCTGTAGTACGGGCGTATTCTTGGCCACCAAACGCTCTGTGGTTCTTTAACAGAACTTCGGTCGCCATCTCGGGTTTTTAAGATAGAAGGAGGCTGGGAAGGGCAAGAAATTTTTGTCGATGTAAAGGAAGAAGACGGGAGGGGGGGGTGTACGCTAAAGCTTCTTCGCTAAATGTCCTGCCTTACTACCCCTACGTTAATCCTCAACCCGAATCAAACTTATTTGATCAACAAACGATCGTCAGTGTTTATCGCTAACTCGCTCTCTGTAATAAAACACTTTTGAAAGGTAGGGGTGGTATATGATGCAAGGGAAGGGTTTGCGGGATTCAGACCCCCTTACTTGCTTGGTATGGTATGGTATGGTATGGTATGGTATGGTGACTTTATTTACACACGGCATTTCCTTCAGGTACATTTACATTCAAATAAAGCAAACTAACTACCTAACTAAACTAGAATCTAAGGTAAAAGACTAAAATAATTACGATGAAAAGAAAACATCTGCTTTTCAAGGAGGCCGTGTGTAAAAATAACGTATAGCTGATTAAATTATTTCACTGAATTGAAATTCAGGTCCCTTAATTTTCCCTTAAATACAGTAGGGGATGTCAATTGCCGCACCTCCAGAGGCAAGCTGTTCCATAACACACTTCCGCTTCAGACCGAAATTCTTTTCTTCCAACGACAGGATCGCTTATTACCACCAAACTTTAAGTAATGAACTTACCTTAAAACATATTTCTGGATCCGCCCCCCCTCCCTCCCCCCCCATTCTCTTATTTCCTTGACTCCTGCTTATTGATCATCGGGACATATGTCTTGAATACAACCTCAAAATATAAACACCGTTTCACGTTATTTCACCAAAATTGTTGTTTCAATTTAAGGTAAAGTATACATGCTGTCCTCATCCTTATTCCGAAGTGTTGCTTACACTAAATCTACAACGTCACTCAAGATATTACGTCATCAACCTGGTGTTTCCGTGCGCACTGATTGCCTGTATGGTGTTTTTAACGTTCGTGTTGCCTCCAGAATGTGGGGAGAGGATTTCACTATGTATCACTGTTCTCATGGCCATGACAATCTTCCAGGAACTTACATCGGAGAAACTACCACCCAGCTCAGATGCATTCTTTTTGATCGGTAAGTGTGTACAGAGCACGCTAAATTTTGTCTAAAAAACACTACAACAAAAACATGACTGCTTCGGTGACGAGTGAGCTCTCACATGGTCACAAAAGTCTCCCCTAACTTTTTGAGGAATCCATTCTGTAATACGTTTTAATTAAGTGATGAATTCTCAGCGAATTAGGCAAATAGCAATCAAATATGCTATCACTGACATTAAATTCAGAGGATACCTTGGCCCGCAAATTGCGATGGTTAGTCTAGACGGGTAGTGTTTGCATGATTTTCGTCTAATATCTTTGCTGATGAAGTCCAATAAAAGTCTTAAAGAAAATGCGAAAGAGATGCATAGACATGACCAAATGACCACTTAACGAACTGACCGTGAACTAACTAGAAATCTCTTCGCCACGAAGTTAGATTGCAAGGACGGAACCAGTTATATTTTTCGACAACCAAAGACCTCTTATAGATAGCTAAACACAATGAATATTTCCTGGTTACTGAATATATTTTCAGGCACTTACTACACCGTCGCCATCTTCGAAATCGGTTTAGCGATAGCAGCCACTTGTCTCGTTCTTAACTTCTACTACAGCAAAACAAAGATGCCCGGCTGGTTAAAAACGATTCTTCTCAGGACTCTGGCGCCCCTTGTCAGAGTAAAGGTCAAGAGAAGACGGCTTTCAGTCAAAGAGAGTCTGCGGTCAACAGACGGCGGGCATGCGCTCGATACAATTCACAACCCAACGTTTGAAACTTTTAACCACTCGGACAATGGCCTGGCTCTGACCTGGGTTGGGGATGTATTTGAACAAAATTCAAGTGTTTCTGTAATGTCTGTGAACTTGAGGAAAGATAGCGTCGTCGATGAAGAGATGGACTCCAAACAGAACATCAACAACTGCGGGAAGAACTGCAACGGTATTTCTGGCAAAGGCAACCATTCCGTCAAACTCAAAGAAAAACTTGGTCAGGAAAAAGAAAGCACACACGAAATAATGGAACCAACTTTGCATCAAATAATTGAATGGCAAGATGAGTGGAGAGCGGCGTCGCAAGTGTTGGACAGACTCATAATTATTTCCTCTGTGATTATCGGGTGTGTTTCTGCTGCTGTTATTTTCCTGCAAGCTCCAAGAGTGAGGCAAATGCTGTCTTTTTCATAGAAAAGAGGCACCAGTAAGAAGTATGTGAGAACAAATCCAGCATATATGACAATGCATATTCTCCCTACTTTTCGGTGCGATAATGTGGGGATATTGTGAGGAAAGGACAACAACGTTCGATCCTGGAGAAAAAAAACAAAAGGCTTCCCTGAATTTCAGCTTTGTGTGTGAGCGGCAACAAAAAGTACGATGGCCCACAACTGTCACGGCAAAAGAAATAACCTCGCGGCAAAAGAGAAAGACTCGCGACAAAAGGAGGAACCTCACCGCAGAAAGGAAAAGATTCACGGCAAAAGAAAAAACCTCACGGCCAAGACTCACCACCGTGAGTCTTTTCCTTTTGCCGTGGGGTTTTTTCCGCGAGGTTACTTCTTTTGCCGTGACAGTTGTGAGCCACCGTAAAAACGTAATAACTTGGTTAAAAAAACATATATTACAAAGGTTTCAAGTCTGAAATCTTCATTTAAGGGACAGCATCAATACATAACAGGTGGGAAAGAAAAACAATTTTATCGAAGAGTGAGACGCTAACTTTCATATACATTCCCGTCTAACAATATTGTAAGGTACCAAAGCCCAAAATTGTGACAAACCAGAACACGGTACTGTTAAATATTTTTAACTGCTATTTTCATTAGTGTTCACCTAGATATCTTTCAAATATGCATGTAATGCAGTTTTTACTACACACGTGTGACTCTCCGAGAGGAGAGTGACGCTTAATCTTTAAAAATCAAGTGGTAATGACCGAGAGAAAATTGAAGGAGAGAGAAGAACACTCTGGAAGTTTACAAAGGATATCCATGACACCTAAATTATCATTTAGTTTTAGACGGAAATGGAAAGATGCATTCTCAGACGTCAGCATTGTAATTTCTCGCTCCATAGAAACCATTCCCCCCTCTTAATCAAAATCGTTTTCAGCAACAAAACCGATTACAGCGCTTTCCACCATCAAATTGCTTCCACTCAGGAACCCTTGATGCGGACCTCTCGGAATACAGGTTTCCATTTTGGAGGTTAAATCTAGTTATAATTTTAATGGAATTGATACATTGTAAGGCCTGGACTGGGAATCTTTCTCTCTGTTCTTCCATTTTCTCTTGTTCTGGAGTGTGGAAATAGTAAATGATAAACATTGCGACAACAACAATAAACGACTTTTGTTCTTTATGTTCCCTATCTTTGTGGCCTAGAATTGTGCCACATCAGGTGACTCCTGCCGGCTTAGAAAGGTAATATTCAAAGGTCCTGACCAGTATATCAAATTTGTTACTGATGTGACAGCTCAGCTCAGCTCAGTTTAGGACTGGGCCGGAAAAACTAAAATGGAAACGAGGTTTTCTCGGCCCAATCTCCATTTCGGAATTGTTGCACCAACCTAGTTTACGGTCAAGAGCTGGCGGTTAATTACTAAGTCTTTTCCCACCTCCCTAAGGGTCTCAATGTGGTTAATCGATAGCCGCTCGGCAAAAAACTGACTAATTTCAACCATTAACCATAAAAAAAAGTTAACCGTATAAATTTTACTTTCAACCGCTAGCTAAAGAATGACCAAAAGTTTAATCGAGAACCGTAAAAGCCATCACCCCATTGAGACCCTTCCCCCCTTAGTATAACATTTAACTGGCAAGGGTTAACCTTCTACACCACGAGATCAGTAGAGATACTCTCCGCACTGTTCTCTATGTGATGTACAGAACAGCTGAACGGTCAAGACCTTCTTTAGTTGGAGATCAATTGCTTTATTCCCACGACTTGAACCTTTGATCCAGAAATGATAAAGGCGATGTTTGTCACACTTACGGGTTTGAGGGTTAGGTTAAGTCGTCAAAATTAAGATTACCATCTGGGACTTTGTTTTGTATCACACACGGTGCAGATATGAATCGGATATTCCTCTTTCCAGAACGCTTCGAGATGGGATGAAGGTTACCATTAAAAAAATACGTCATGAGATTGGCAGACGCTGCAACAGTGAAATGGTGGCCATCATTCTATAATAACACTAAGAAAATCTTAATCTAGTAATGAACACCTTGTTGAGAAATTATAGGGATTACGACTCGATTTTAGAACATGAAATTTGCGGTTAACAGGATGAGATTACGAGAATTAGTGGAAGGTTTCTTTTAACGTTTTCAATGTTTCTCTTTGCGTCTTCAATTCTTTAGTCGCTAATTTCATTCTCCCTTTGTTATTTTAAAACAGCAAATACACCTGTGCTAATGAAGAATAAACTTGTTTTTGAGTAAAACGGAAAAACACCTTTGATATTCGACGAGATTAACTGTCTCGTATTCAAATTTTCGTATTCTCAGTACCAATAAGAATGGTATCGAATAATACAGCAAAGCGGACGAACCTATCAGAGATACATTAGCATTCGTAAGTTCTATTCTAAGTAACCCTGGATCTATTAAAACGAGAAAAAGGATATTGAATGTGTCTAGATCGAGATAAAACTTGATAGTCTCAAAATGACGTACTTTAAAACACAGGTGATCTTACTAACGAGAAATATATCCATGAAAGGTTTATATGCGAGGACTTCTGTTTCTTAGTTAGCTGCAATCTCCCCCATAAACGATCCCAGAAAGGCATGCATGCTATCGCCGAGGGCACCGAGCAAATCATAGAAAGCGCAAAGTGAACAATCTTAAAAATTCATTTCTGAAACATTGAACTGCAAAACCTAAGAGAAAACTTCGGAAAGTTGCCCTGTTAATATTATGTCTTGCGCAAAGGAAATAGATTCCGTATAGCGTTGTTTGTTGTTTTTCAAATGTGGGGTGCATTTCTTTGCTCTTAATTTACATGTCTCGAGAAAAGGAAAATGAATTCTCTAACAGCGCTTTTTTTTTTGTTTAAATAAGAATTTCTCATTAACTCGTATGCGTTAGATCTGACTGACAGAGAGGTAAAACGGTCTATGGGTGTAACCCGTGGGTAGCATTTGTTTACTTTACCCTTTTTCAAGTTCGCGACAAGTAGAACACTTTACGAGACACAAGGGCGAGAATCTTATTCATAGCCTAGAATGCGACCACCTCTTTTTTTTTCTTTCAACTCGGTTACCCGGGTAAAGCACCAAACTGGAATTTAACAAAAAGAGGTCGATTGCTAGGTGATTAACTGCGAGCGTTCTATCGGTTCGATCCAATTTGAGTTAAAGCCTATTTATTGTATAAGACAGCGAAAATATCTCTAAATGTTTACTTTTTCTCAAGACGCTGAAAGATAGAGACTAACGAGGCTGTGTCGCTTAATTCATTAGCCCGATTTTAAATGCATTTTCACGATCTGAGGTGATAATTTCTTCCGCTCGTCCCGGATATAAATATAGGCAAAATGTTTCCAAGACGCCTCAATGCCATTGCTTTGGTGTAAAGAAAATAAACTCTATTCTTCACGGAAAATCGATTAGATTTCACGAGCGTTTATCGAGAGTTGTTATAGGCGGGGAAATTGACATTTCCAATTTCAGCAGGAATAAAAGGACCACATAACTTAAAACTACTAAATGGACTTTTCAAGGGCTCGCAACAATGCCCACAATAACAGCGTTTAATAAATGCAGATTAAGTTTATCGTATACATTTGCATTTGAATAAGTCGTGTCGGATATTAGTTTCAAAAAGTAAGACGTCGAAACACTGATGAAAGAGTACAGCGAGGTCAGCTAAAACCATTGAAATACACGGGATCAATCCTCTGAAAATCTATCGCATTTTTGATTGGTTTTCTGTGCCGCTGAAGGCTTCAACTTCATTTTTCTGACAGGACAAAGCTACGAATCCGATAAGGTACATTTGTTATTTTTTCTTAACAGCTGGGTGGCCTGTCATAAAAATCTTTCCTTAGACATTCCTAGTTTCCCTTATTCCCTTAACATGGAATTTGAGTTCACACAGGTAATACCTAATTCTGGTAGAATCGATGGCAATTTGGTAAAAGAAGGAATCTTCTGTTGTGTAACATCTTTGTAATTTACACCACGTTAAAACGCTTCAGTTCGAGAAAAGCGACCTGTTAATTAATGTTGCACAAGGTTAGGAGTACAAGGAAAGAGCAATAGTTTTGACCCGAGGTCAACTGAAGAGCTTGTAATTGTCAAAAACGTTTCTGTTGTTTCGACAAATGATGGCGACAAGAAGCTCTTGTATCGAATTGTGAGCGGAAAGTGTTCCATCTCTTGTTATCAGTCTTATATCAACTGGTCCTTGTAACATATCAGTGAGTTTATCGCCTAGTGTAGCTTAATTTATTTCGCTTCTTCCCCAGCTAGATTTCCTGAAGATGCTAAGAGTCCACCTCACTCTTACCTTCTTATTTCAATGACGATTATTTTTTCCCGTCTAAGGCTGCGAATGTAAACAAATACAACAGCAGGCCTAGTTTTATTTTCCACCGGCATTTTCGTTAAATTCACGCTGAGGAACACTTTCTCGCTTTGACGGAATTTTCTGTCATAATTGAATTTATCCTCCAATTTCGTTTGCTGCTCCTTTCTTTTTCGTCTCGTTGCCATTGCACAAAGCTACTCATTTCATTAAACATTTGACAATGGAGGGAGTCTGAAGTATTTCGCGCTCACGAAGCTCTCTTCACAGTGCTTTTACCTTCTGAAAGTTGGTTATGTTGGGAAGCCAAACTACTTGCATTATTGATTAAACCTTTGAAAATAGATCACATCGATCGAGGATGTTATCAATTGAGACGTCTTCGTTTACAGAAAACCACAAAACACTTGTGCGAGAGCGTTATTTTCAGTTAAGCGAATTATATTTTTCTTTTTGTGTTAAGTTTGGCAGCGGTGTAAAGCTTCTTCGTGGCTTGTCGAATTCGTTCGAAAATCCAGCTTCTTTTGAAATAAACTGAATTATTTATTGAGAAGAAGTCTCGATTAAATGTTAATATCACTTGGGGTTCAAACTAGATATATTTTACCGCGCGTTACATAAAAAAATTATCAGTACAGTTTGGCAGTTTCGGTTGAACAATAAAGTGCGATATCTATGGAAACGCGGTCCAAAAAGTTTAATTTGCTTATTTATCAAACCGGAAAAATTTTAATATACACACTGGCTGCGGCAACTTTCAAGAACGAATATCAAGAGATTTTTACCAACTAACAATCCTCTTACAGAAGATTTGAAATGATGCTTATAAATTTGTTGCGGGATTGTAAAGCTTAAAAAATTTTGGAAAACGTGTCTTCGTTATCTATTTTTAATGACGAGGTATTTTAAATACGGTAATAAAGAAAAGCACCGTCTGTTTCAGAAGGCAAAATAAAAACCCATTTATACTGATTTTGTTCAAAGGTAAATCAACGAATATTGTTTTGGATTTGTTTGAGCAGTTCAGTCTGGAATGAGCTTTCCTGTGGAGTGTTGTGAATGAGGATGTAGCGGAAGGAAAGCAAATAGTTTAGAAAGAAGTCGTATGAATTCAATCCACATATTATGTTTTCAGCGCGGCCTTAAATTTACTTGTCCTCTCCAATTCGTTGAGATTATTGGACATAATTGCAGAGGCCCATGTTTAAACTCAATTTCCAGTTTAAATCGCAGCCATGATGAAACTTGCAAATATTTTTAGATGCTAGATGGCATGGAAATTAGTGTTTTTCTTGAAATTTCAAAAGATTCTCATTAGCCGAAATTGCATATTGTATGCCCATTTTTCTTTGTTCGGATTTGACACCTTGGCTGAGAAAGAAAAATAAAGACAAACAGATTTTATTCCATAGCCGCAGAAAGCGACAATAGAAAAGAAAATAGTATGTTTTATAGTTCGCAAAAATGATGACAAACTCTTTTTAGTCGAAGGGAAGTTTCCTATTTTTGCAGATGAATTCCCGAACTATGGATGTTGTCACAGTTCTGACAAATTTTTGAATGTGAATGTTGGTTAGAAAAACGAACTTAGCAACAAAAAGGAAATGAAATGACAGACCTTAACAGACTTATAATAATCAATCAATTATCAAAGGACGAATTTAACTCCAGTTAACCAATAGAAATTCAGGAGAAGTTTTAACCAATCAGATTCAGAAATACTCGCAAATGATTGGCAGGTGTTCAGGGAACAAATCTTTTGCATTTGAAGTAAAAGCTTTGAAAAAGTTTACTGAATTTCTATTTCATTGCTTAATATTAAAACAATAACAACCGGTTTTAAAGATGTCTTGGATTGAATGAATTTAAGAGAATGTAACTAAAAATTGAAAAAAAAAATTGCTGCTCTTTTTCTCTGGAGTTTTAGTTCTTGCGGAAGGAGTAACATCCGAGTGAAAGAAAGGAAAAAAAGGAACACATAACAGCAAATTAGTATGTGACGTCAGGCGAAGGAATAAGTCGAACCGAAGCAACAGCAAGTGCTTTCGTTATTGCCTAACCATCAAACATTCACAAACTTTTACATATTCCAGCTTATTTGTAGAAATTGAAGATTGTTGTCCTTTTAATAACTTGGAGGATTTGAATTAGCCAATAAGGCGATGTTTTTAATGCGCGCATTGTTAAGAGTGCTTGGAACTATTTGGAGACTACTTTATGTAATCAAACCTTTTCATACAACTGCTATCGAAGTAACCAGTCTTTTCTACTCGGTGGACGTCCTCTGAACCAACTGATATGTATATCTTACTGGTAAAATATCCTCAGCTTACACAAAGCTGTTTATCAAATCATAGGCAATTTCATTGAGCGGTTTTTGAAAACATGTCTCTTGGAAATTCCTGTTCCTTCTTCATTCTTTATCGCTCAAGACAGACGACAAAACTTGTGTCGCCGCTACAGGATGATAACCAGTGAGAGTCGCCAACGTTTACAAAACTGTTCCCCAATGTTGCCAAGGTTTTCCAAGGGTGCTATCCCAAAAATTGTGGAAGGTAGCCGATGTTATTGCAAAAGGTTTCCGAAGTTACTGCGCCAAAGGTTAACTTTGTCGAAGTACTGCCGAAGTTACAGCGCCAAAGGTAGTCTAAGTTTATCGAAATTACTTCGCCAATGGTCGTCAAAGTCTGTCCAACGTTTCCTTTGCCAAATTTTGTCGAATAGTAATTCATTGTCAACGTAAACAGTTTTTTCCAGAAGCCGAACCATTGCCCTTTCCGAATGACTGATACTGTTTTGATTATTCAACTCGGTGTACTTGAGCGAGATGAAATGCGATGCTTAAAAATCAGTTTTATTTACAAATGCCTGCAGAATGGACCCTAAAAAAAACGGTTAAGAACGCTGCTGAGTTTGTTTTGTTTTGCTTTTTTTTTAAGTTTTGGCCAAAACATCCTCCGTCTGTCTTGAAAGAAATAATAGATTCACCTGACGAGATCATGCTGTACTTTGCACTTCTAGCTGTCATGTAGCGAAAGCAGTGTTAATGGAGCAAGAAAATTCTGTCCACGCACAAAAATGTGCCTTTCGTGCGTACAAAGGAAATCAAATTGCTCATTTTACAATATACTCACGTACATTGCGTAATAATGCGTCGGCAATTAACGTCAAAACCAAGCGCCCACATTGCCACAATTGCCATGCGCACTAGCATCGCGTTTGAATAAAACGTAAGCACAGAGTTGCTGGCTAAGTGGCAGGCAATCGACAAAGCAGAGGAAGTCAAGCTCGGATAAAAATCCATTTGTTGCCTTTCTGTTTGGGGAATGAAACGTGGAGACTGTTAAAGCAGTCTGAATCCAAGGAGTTTTATGTTCGATACAGAAAACCCGGCAAAGGTGAATAGACGACTTTTTTTATTTTAAGTTGTATATTTTTTGCCGGTTTTTTTTAAAGTAGTTCATGATAATCTCTTTGGAAATAGCTGTAGCTTACGCGAGAAAACATTGAGATTATTCCCAGGACAAGAAATGCATTTTGGATTTTAACAACGCTTCGTCACTGCGGTTGTAACTTAGCTCTCAATTTCGCTGCTCATACTCCAAATTAAGGAAAGAAAACACTAAATTCAATTTCACTTATTTCACATTTCTAAATCACAAAATCAAATCTCCAAGAGTTTGTTCATTTTGTTTAAATGTGCCAATAATTTTAAACCCTACGTTTCACCAGTCCGTAATACACAGCGTCTCATCATTCAGTACACACTTCAAAAAAAGAAAAGGCGAAAAAATCTATCGGAGAAGCAAAACAAGAATTCCGTGTTTACACAAAGAAGTGTTTGTTCTTGAAGTTCCTTTTCTTCCAAAATATGCAAATTTAAATGAAGTCTAATGACTGAGATTAACAAAGTTTTGTAAACAGCGCTTTAGAGCACATTAAACTTTGTCTATTATCGTAGTTAAAAACACTTGTGGGTGACCCGTTAACATGTAAAAAACGCCTCAATAAGCATTAGTGGTTATTCTGCTATAAATGTTTCATACCTGGAGATTTCTGTTGAAACAAGTTGCGGACATTCAGGGTTCATTTCAGAAACTTATATAAACATCATGTTATCTTAACAAACAGAGACGAGAAATCATGAACTGCAGCTGCTCTCAGAGCAATTAAAGAGCGATAACGCGTATTAAAATGCACGTTATTTTTAGCAGCAGTACATTTTCTTTCTTAATCAACATTCATTGCTGTGCGCCGTTCAATCATTCTAACCGTCAGGGTTGTCAAACTACAAGTGGATCGAAAATGGTGAAAACTGAAAGCATTTATATTTTTTAATTAAGAAAGTACTTAAAATTGCAGGAAATCAATGGATTTCTTCATCCAAGGTATAAGATTTTCACGGGAGGTTTTTTTTTTTAATTATTGAACTAGCCATAACATTAAATGTGGGCTGGGTGCAGGGGCAATCCAGGCTAAGAAATTTGCATTTTATGCTCGCAACAAAAGAAGGAGTATGTACTTCCATTTAAATCTTCTTTGCTTTTGCAGTATATTTTCTGGAAATCAAACAAAATCAAGCAATTATTGTTGTATTTAGTACGTTGGATTAGACTAGATAGAATAATCAGTTGGAGATCATGTTAGCGTTTGCGTGAGGTTTGCCTGACCAGAAACACGCAAAGTCTGCTACAGGAATTTGCAATTATAGGACTGAAAGCTGAGCAAAATATATCAAACGCAATATCATGATTAGGCAATGGCAGATAGATGGATGATTTGACAACAATACATGCAAAGTAAAATAACAAACCGTTATCGAAAAAAAATGCTCACGAAAAAAACATGATCATAGATATTTTGGTAACGTAATTCTGCACTGATGAAAGAGAAATATAAATATATGCTATATTGTAGTCTTTAGGCTATGCGGAATAACACGTTAAAAAAAGGCATTCACATTACACAAACGCAAGTTTTTTTCCCTAGTTTAGTTTACTCGGAGGTAAAATATTGTTTGTGGGGGAAAAAAGGCACAGGTGCAAACGAATTTTTTTTTAAATTATTGGTTTATTGATTTTTTTGACGATGAGAAGTTTTCATTAAAAAATAATGAAATACTCAATGGTTAAAAAAAAAAGATAAAAAATGTTCAGGTAGCTCTGGGAAGGTTTGGGAAGAATGGCGTGATAAAAGCTGCAAGAATTACTGATTCCGCACGTATGATGTTGACAAGCTTGACGAGGGCTCTGGGAAAAAATCGTGCGTTGACCTCAATCTTGCACCAGACTTTTCCCTACATTCGGGCAAAAAATATCTTCTCTGTTTAATGGTGTTATACCTTTTCTTTAATCCAATTTAACCAGCCGATCAAATGATAAAACAACCGATAGAAGAGAGCACTGCAAGGCACTGGGAACTAAGCTAAAATTTGTTTTATCATGGGCTTTTTGATCTGAGGTGATTCGGCAAAGTTTTGAAGTTTTTCGCTAGCGTAAAATTAAGACGGAAGGAAACAAAAATTAAAAGATGAATCTGTCTGCAAAGCGTTAAATCTCAGTCAAAATTAAACAAACCTAGGGATGGCTTAATCGAACAAACCATGGCCAGAATATCTCAGCTTACTTCCCCAATCGACGGCCCCAGTGCATGCTTTAAAGACCCAGGATGCATCACAGCTGTACAGTGGTGCTCGCTTCTTCAGCCGATAGTCACTTATGATCGCACGGATTCACCTTGTTGTTTTATTGCCCCATAACAGATCATGTGACAGGAGTGTAAGTGTTTGGTTTTTTTTTTCTTTTTTTTTTTGGAAAATTTGTGACACCAGTGTTTGCAAACTCATCTTACTCCGTAAAAGGAAAGCATCAAACCCTCTAAGGATCTCAAGTGATTTTTCAAAGCTTTTGATCATCGGGCGTTTACCAGTACATAGCTTACAGTAAGAAAGGGACAGCTCCCCATGATTGGTGACACCAAAGAACTGGGACATGTCTGAATGAAGGCTTTTTTAAATCGTTTTAGTTAATGGCTATTGACAAAATATTTTCATTTATTGCCGGAATTTCCTGGGGCCGAGTAGATATAAAAAGGAACCGTGGAGTGATTGAGAATTTTTTGATGCTTCAGTAATAAAAAAGCATCTAAATATAGAAATAACTTACAAAAATTAAAACGTCGAGGGGAGAACTCTGAATTATACCCACGAAGCTAAACATAGAAAGTAATATCTGTATTTATTCGCTTATCTTAATTAATTTGGGGTTGAATTAATGTGACGACGGTCTCCAGTTAAAATGTTATTCTTGTATATAGGAGTCGATAAGTTCTTACGTTAGACATACATAAATCCATGGTAAGCCCACCAATCTTTGTAAGAGAAAAATTAATTGGTAAACGTGCGGAGATGGAGCAACAAAATGAGCGCGAGGGAGCCTCACTGTAACATCCTCCTTATTTCGTTGTTTAAAACCAATCCTTGAGTTCCTGCTATACGACGTTGAAGTGTTACAACGTGAAATCAAAAGATAAAATATTGTACACTTTATTTGTCATATACACGTTTAGTTGAGGGCTTTCGTGTGACTGATACACGAAATGTTGTTTAAATTTCAACTGCATTTATCGTTCAATCGTACCAGAAATTAAAGAGCGAGGAACAAAGCAAATGTTTTATCTCTACGCTGCTCTTTACCAGGTTGTGCTGAAGGATACATTCAACTCTCTAAGGAATGTAAAACATTATGGCGATTCGCTTGTAGGGGACTCAATTATCATCTTCATATAGCAGTCTTCGAATTAACCTCAAGCAACCTTTCTATGTTACAAAACTTATACAAGGATCGAGCGTTTTCGCTTGGAAAATCTATATTTGCCACTTTCATATGATTCTATCCTGGACTAAGACCTTATCTGGATTTTTTTTCGCCAAAAAACAAGTGATCAAGTCGAGGAAGAAAAATTTCTAAGTAAATTAGGAATACCCATCTCAGTGATTTACCACTAAAACGAAAAAACGTAGACAGTTATTTGTTGCTCCCACTGCTTTGAGAATTTCAGAAATACTGGTAATTAGCAAGGACATCGCTCATCTATTTTCAGACCCTATTGGGTATCGCGAATGACATATTTGTGCTATAACTTCATGTCTAAAACAAAGAACATATCGTTTAAACTTAATAACCTTCATTACATTCGCCTTTTAGGAAAAGAGAGATATTTTAGAACACTTAAACAAAAGGACTATTTAATAATAGTGAAATATTGCCTTTTGAGTCGTTGCTGTTTTGTTTCAAAAAGATCTCCACCGGTGTATCAAAACAGAGAGTTTATCGAGAACAATTCCTCAGTTGCCGAGAGGCAAAATCTATTTTCATGATATGCCTCACGTTTGATAAACTTACAGGTCAATAGTCAAGCAATTTTCGAAAACTAAAACACTTACTATGCATGTTCACTTATTTCACTTCGTATGCAAGAAAGGTTTCTCAAACATGACCACCACGAAAGATTTATTCACAAGCAAAATAAGAATATATTTATCTTTAAAATCCAAATTAATCATGTTATTGTTGAAACAAAGGCTATCTAGTGCACTCACCCTTTGGGCCTTTTCAACAAGTAAACTATATTTAATATTTGAATTTCAAGCCTTTTGTTTTTCGGCTGGATCGCGTAAAATGATATGTGAAAAGGGTAACTTAGTTGTGAAAGAATAACTACCTATTTCAAAGCTGACGTCTTTAATTCTAAAACCAACGGGAACAAAATGAAACAAAGTACTTCAGCTCGAGAATATTTTACCATTTTTTTACGGCAGGAAACATCTCTTGCTACCTTCTAAGAGGCGGTAACTACACACGCTAGATACTACATCAAACAAATCCGAAAGGAAAACGCCAAGTATTAAATGTTAAGTTAGCAATCTGTTCTGAACGTTGTTTACTAGGGACAATGATTTTACGATCACCAGATCGTGTCAATGTTTATGGTTTTCAAATACACTGGATAATAAGCGCTATAAACTCATTGTTATGCTGGATAATTCATGGAAGACCTCAGAACATGATTCCATATTCATTTAATCTTTCCTTAGACGACTGACGTCAGAGAAATATATCAGAAATTAACTCATGACCGATAAGGCGTCACATGGTTTATTCGCGGGTTGAGTACAGGTTCTACCTTGACTTCAAGAGAGCGCTAAGAAGTTTTCTAAGCTTGCCTTCTTTTTTCTTACAGTTTCTCGACATTGAGTTACTTTCCAAAGATGTCGCCGCTCATATTTACGTTCTGTGTTTTGAGCACCTGTGCGTTGTGCTCAATCCTTGCCTTCGCTGAGATGGATGAATCTGCGCAAGGTATGAAACTTTCTAGTTTACTTGAAAATTTCGCTCCCGCAAAAGTCGGTTCAAATGTTTGCTTCAAAGAATGGAAATCGTAGAAAGTTATTTTGACATATTTGAGTAGATTTCATCGTGTTTGCTGAAAATTCGGATGTATTAAAATGATCTGCGTCTATTAAATACGGTAAGAGGAATTACAGTTTGAATTTTATTCCACATTAGAAAGGCCGCGTCTTGTGTGCCATCGTGAAATTTGCTCGAATTGTCTCGGTATTTCTCAATGTAGTTATTCACTGTTACGGCGGCTTTCAAAGAACTTCATTAGGCCATTTTTATTCTATTAACAATTTCTGTTCTTGTGCCGAAAAATAATTGAATTTCGCAATGAAATGTTTGAGCGTCGCCTGAAGGAAGAATTTAACCTTTTCATTTTAATATTACTGATATGATGACCCCCTGGTATTCGGAGGTTTTTGATTTTTAAAACATATACACTACGAGACAGAAATAAACATCGAGTGAAGGTTTTTCTTCAATTTTTAATGATGCGAAAACGTGTTCAAAGTTGCTAAGATTGGAACGTCCAGGGCTGAATGTTATTCATCAGCTTTTTTCCCAGCAAGTCGAAATTTATAAATAGCCACAGTATGGAATCAAAACATTTTCCGTTTTGCGTTTTAAGAGATTCGAAATGCTAAAGAAAAGAAAGATTGTGATTACAATAAAAAAACGTCCAGTGGTGTTAGTGAAAAATCAATTCTTTCATTCCTTTGTTTCGAGAGTTAATTTCACTGAAAATCGCACCATCCTCGCAAGTTCTTTTCTTTTTCATTATTATTCAAAATTTTAAATTGGCATATGCCATGTTCAACATTGTGTTCCTCTCAAATCAAAGCATGTTCTTGCTTCTTAAATCATCTGTGTACGCGTTAGTTACACGTGCATTTTATGTGTGTTAATGTTTTCATGTAGAAATCTTCAAGAGAGTAGATATCACTTTCATTTTGCAAATGAAACAAATTCCATATCGGACTTCTCCCTTGGTGGTTTAGGAATATAACCAATTTGCACGAGTGGCAGAAAGAAACAATTAATTTAATAACGTGTCTTCTTTGGTTGGCTCTCCTTAGAGTCTTTAATCCTGATTTTCCGTCTAGGACTCTTGGGTGGTAATTTTTATGAATATAAAACTTCAAGTAAATTTTGTGTTGAAATGCATTCGAAAATTCGTAAATAGATTTCGAAATACATATGTGCATTTTTTGAAAAGCCAACTGTTCGCCGGTTAGATCCAAAAATGTGCCAGTATGCTATGTATTGTTAAGTCTTATTTCGAAATAAACTTTATAATTCTAAATGACAGGCTTTGGAATTTAAATAAATTTGATTAATTATAGGCAAGATAATGAATAATAAAGAGAGAATTCGAGAGAGCTCTCGTTTTGTGTTGTATATTTTGAAGAAAGCTATAACGACTTTTAACGATGAATTTCAAACATTGTTCTCTCACCGAACGAATTTCGTAAATTAAAACGGAATTGTTCATTGCAGTAAAATTTTTCACTTAAAACTGTGCGTTCATCTACAACGGAGCTTGAAAAGCCTTTCACAGCCTTGATACCCCAATAAAAAGCTAAAGAACGTATGACGTGTTACCAACTGAGCGTTTGATTTTTTTATAGATAGAAGAACCATAAGTGCTTTTTGCTGAATTCTTTATCCACATGCTAATTACAAACGCTCAAATGCAACCTACTATGAAGCTGTTTTCAGGTGGAAACGTAGTTTTCATAATTGATGGCCTTAGATACAAGCTGGTGCTAATTTCGTTTCATAATCATCCTTGTGACCCTAGTTACGTATTGACACTTTCGATGTTCACCAGGCGCAAGTTTGTTTTACCAATTGGAAATTTTTTTTCAATCCCGAAAGCTAAGTTTCTTGAACTAACCTTAAAATGATTATATTGACATGAGTGTCTGCCGAAATTTCGAGGAAATTCCCTAATCATGAAAGTTAAATTTAACAAGAAGGCAAGAACGACATCGGTGTTAAGTAATATGCTGTCATGAAAGCGGGATAACAAGCCATAAATGAGAAACCTGCGTATTTTGCATTAATAGAGATAATATTAGCTTTTTTATAGCCGGGGTTTTCTTTAACTTGTTTGATGTAAAAGCCGGCCGCCAATTGACTTGCAAAGCTGTCAACTAACGTTAAAAAGCTAACGAGCAAGAAAATGCAAAACGATGTGTTTATGATCCACCAATCCACCAAAACGTCTTTAGGCAAATAAAACATCATGTATTTTGTAAGGAAATTTCAACACTGCTATAAACTCAGGATAACAACATTTGAAATTCATCTAAAAATTCTTATAAGATTTCCCAGGGCCAAAATCCAGGTTCAACAAAGTTTACTTGTGTTTTTTTTTGTTTTTTTTTTTTAAACATGTCATTTATGGTTTGTTTATTTTGCTTTGTCATTTTTCCGTGTTTTATTGTTCATTTCCTTCACGGCAAAGTGACATCTTAATTCATCTCCCGTTGAGACCATAACCCAGATATCTTATCAAATTTACACGAAATCTTTGAAATCACCGTCAACATGGCGTCCGCATTAAGCGTCATGCGATACCAAGGTTAATGTCGGAAGCAAGCTATTAGATTGTTTAGTCTTTCTGTAAACTTTACGTCAGACAATCTGAAATGTGCTGGAATACCTGCTGGCTAAATTGAATTTCAGTTATAGCAGATCACGCATTGCGTCGTGTGAAGAAGACAAGTTTCAACTAGTGCTGAGTTTGATTAGCAGGTTATCTCCAAAAATTTCATTGTATCCTATGTTCTATTAAGGACTTTTAATGTCTCTTTATAAGAACTGACCTAAAAAATCACTAGTTTTAAGAATTGTTGAGGTAACTAATTAAACAACGAGATGAAAATGCATTTTCAAATCATATGTTTAAAGGGGAGATAGTGTTTTATGTTTAACATAATAACACATCAGGCTTTTATCAGGGGTCTCCATTGTAATATTAATGGTTTTGTTTGATCGTCAGTCTAAAAAGAGAAACGTTCACTGCATTTTACTATTTGGCGTAATAGTCAAAGGTTTGGCGAAGACGGCTTATGGGTGGCAATGCAAAAGTGCCTATTTTATAATACGTCTTTAAATCAAAGATCCTTTAAGAAAGAGGTACCACTTTCTCGATTATTGAGATAGGTTCATGCGTAGAATTAATATCCGTATTTCTGCTTTTCTCTTCATAAATATGCCGCCAGCGATTTTTGATTACTTAAAGATCATTATCGGCTGATATTTAATCGAATCATTCAAAAAGGATGGTTAATAAAAATTACTTTATTTTACGAGTTTTGTGGCGTTGCATTAACTTTTATTTTTTCATACTTTGAGTCCTAAAATAAAACGTTACGATAATTTAGTATGTATAAAAGAATTTAAAACTTAGTTTATTTCCAATCTCAGATTTACGGTGTCTATTTTTTCTGATCTAGAATCTGTTATTTGTGTCTTTGTCAGGTCAAAGGTTATTGCTTTAAAATTTACCCTCCTTTCCAAAGCCCAATGTATTTACCCCAGATTAGCTCTGCCATTTTTAACTTAAAAATACTATTTTTGAGCTTTCATTAACCCTTATTTTGACAAATTTTTTTTTTAACCACTAACCTCTAATTACTTTTACCCTCTGAATATTTTATAAAAATAAATGAAGAGTCCTTCTTTTGCTCAGTTCTATGGAGAATGTTTTGCGATTGAGTGAGATATTGGAAGATACAATGGTAACGATTGATTGAAAACTGAAAAGCGAGCCTCATCTGTGGTTTTAAACTTTAATTAAAACCACAATTTGGGGTAAGACGCGATGGAAAAGGAGCGGATTGGAGATTCATTGTTTTGGCGAAAAGCTTTACGAAACAGCAACACAATTTATTCCTTCTTTTACAAGTGAAAATTTAGGTGTCTCCTCCGTTTCATTCCACTCGATGTTGCTTTAGGAACTTTCATTTCTAGAGAATTTTTTTTGGCAATTTTTGTCACACGCGACAAACACTTGACACATGGTGTTTATGTAAGACTAAAATCTGTTCGGCAAGTCGCCGTGAACGACATATACATAGAACACTTTGGCCTATTTTAAAACTAGGCTTCAACTCGCCAATTTGTACAATCACTAATAAATTGTAAAAATTTTGCACGGCTTTTGAAAGGCACATGAAAGGCAAACAAAGATCGTCCCTTGTACATGTTGGAACAAACGCCTTCGGTTCAAGAGAGGTAGATTATCTAACGCAAGAAGTGCTCTTAGTAACATTTGTCTTAGACACAGCTTTTCGACCGGTTTTTCGAGTAATTTAGACCAAGCTACTGACAAAACATCTGTGAAAATGAGGAAATGTCCTCGTTCTCAATCGAAGGTTTGGCCACTAAGTCTAACGTGTGCAACATGCGCTGTAGGTGTATTAAAGCTTAAAGCTCTTTTCGATTGGGTGTCGTAAAACCAAAACCAAAGTAATCATTGACGAAAACCAATTAGATGAAAGGAAAATACCTTTAAAAGCCAATGAGAACTCTAAGTAAAAACAACCAAACTGCCCAAAGCGCGGGAAAACGCTGGCCACCAAGTCGTTTTGTGATTAAATTGTGTTTTGCAGCTGATTGGTCAAGAAAGTGGAGCGATGGTTCTCTAAACCAATCACAGAAAAGAGTAAAGAAAAATCAAAGCAATCCCAGATTACTTTATTTTCAATTGAAAATTGTCCCAAAATTTCACATATTAAAGACATTTCACGTATGTTGAAAAAAAACAATGCATGAATTATCTTTTTTATTTTTTTTGGTAGAACACCATGGTAACCTTACTCAAGAACAAAGATTGTTAGATCATCTGCTTCAGAACTACAGGACCCGCAGACTTATCCGTCCTGTAAAGGATCTCTCCAAACCAATTGTCATCGATTTCAGTGCTGAGTTAGTTGGCGTAGCTAAAGTGGTAAGAAAAATGTACAAATTTAAAAAGGAGCTTGAAAAAAATATTACTCCTTCGGATGCGAATGCGAAAAATTAGGCTGAGCTCAAATCCGAGCCATGTGTTATGCTGGTCAGCGAATCTCAGTTTACAATTCAAAATGTTTCTGAAATGAAATTATGTTGCTATGGTAACGTATTTAGACACAAGGATGGTCACGATGCTTAGCCCGGCACTAATTTGATGAATATCTTGAATTATGCAGGACGAAAAAGAACAGATAATTAAGACTCACTTTTGGATTCGCCTGGTAAGTCTGTCCCTTCCTTGCTTGATATTTGCCCAGCATGAACAAATAATAATTATGAATATTATAGTAAGTTTGTTGTGCTCTTGTAACGTACTCTTGCAGTTTTGTAGTATTGTGATTATGTAATTTTGTACAACAAGAAAATTATAAAAAAATTATTTATAAATATGACTCATTGAGGCAAAACCTGTTCAAATAAACTGTAATTAAACGATCAGACTTGCTGGTGCTTCTGTTGTCGTTTACTGTTGATTTTTTTATCGAGTGACAGCTTTGGACGATTGTTCTTGATAAGTTATCGACTAACCATTCATCGCTGAATTGTCTAACTAATGTAGTGCGGGGATGCCCTGCTATTCGGTAACGCCATGTTCAAGTCATTTTTTTTTAAGAATAACGCTAAGCTTTTCTTCGCAGGACTGGAACAATCCTTATATGACGTGGAGACCACAGGATTACGGAGGAAACAAGGTGATGAACATTCCTCCCGAAATGCTTTGGGTGCCTGACATCGTTTTGTACAACAAGTAAGCCTCGCTTTGATGACGTCTTGAATGAGTTACTGTATTTGTGCCTCGATGAATTATGGGGGTAAACTGTGGTGCTGCGTCGGTGAGAGGGTACAGCAAGGTAATTTGGTTTTACCAACTCGGTTGAAAACTGGAAGTGGCCACCGTAAAGGGTTTCTTTCGCCGAGAGAAGGGTTAACGCTCGGAACGTTAGCTTTACAGCTTTTAACATGAGGTGGCCAATTTACGTAATCAAATCAGTTGATAAAACCAAATTACCTTGTATTTGAACTCGTCTGTCTGGCGTCAATTTCGGTCCGTCTGTGTGTATGGTGTCTTTAATTTGTACTTTTCCGTCTAATGTATCGGTCTGTCGGTAGCCTGAGCTGCTTTTTGATTTACCTTCGACCAGTCTGTGTTGATGTCAGTCATCCTTTATCTATCTGTTTGTCGGTTTGCAGCACGCATTAATGTCTTTCCGTCTTTCTTTCTTCTTCATCTTAACTATCTGTATCTCTTTCTATCAGTCCACCGGTCATTCTGGATTTCATTGGGTCACCTGCCATTCAGAGTTTCGTCTTAAGAAACTACAAACACATTCATAACCACTAGCCTGGGACAACCTGTGTGTAAACAGTGTGAAGAGACATCTCTGAAATTACTATGGCTTGCTTTGAAAAAAAACTTAATTCTACGGAAGCTTTTGGATTAGCTCTCATGAACCATCTTGTTATGTGTTTGAATATCGAAATATATCATATCTACACACGGCTTGCAGTGTTGCAACAAGTACCGGTAAAACTCGATAATTGACAGTTATTTCTCAGATCTCCTTTCAATTCAAACTTTTCTTTCCTAGGGATTCCTCTTCTGATTTTCAGCTTCCATCCTTAAAAAGGTAAAAATAGCAAGTAATCTCTCTAAATCGACAATTCTGACCAGTTAAATGATTTTTATCCCTCTTCTCAGCGCTGATGATCGACTCAGCTTAAAAGCAACATCCGGGTTCACAACGAGCGTCAAGGTCCGCCATGATGGAAACCAAACATGGCGGGCTCACATCATCTACAAGAGCATGTGCAACATCAACGTCAAGTATTTTCCATTTGATGAGCAGCAGTGTAAAATGGTTTTCGCCTCTTGGTCACATGATGTGAACACAATAGACTTGAGAAAAAGGAAAGGTCCGCTAGGAGAAAAAGCTGTGGCTAAAAAAGATAGAGGATCCGACGTGTTCCAGGAAAACGAGGAATGGACGGTGGAATGGATTACCATCGATAGACACGAGGTTCGTTAAAACTGATAAATTATAACTTCCTTGCCAATTTTATGATACATTATAAAATACTTCAAAAGGTAGGAGGAGTTTAAAAAAATTTGACCGGAATCTGGGCCCCGTTGTTCGAAGGTCGATTAGCATTAACCCAGGGTTAAATTTTTAATCCGGGTTTCTTCTTTCCTTTGTTCAAAAACTTTTTGAGTGATTTTCTCTATTCTTTTAAGATCATCCAATAATCAAGTTCTAAAAAAAACGAAATATACTGAGTTTTCTTGTAAAGTTTTCAGATCTGTGACTAGATTTCACACTTACCCTGGGTTATCTTAACTCAGCTTTGAACAACCAGGCCCGATTTATGTGATGTCATTCGCAACAATCAAGACATATAGAGATAAATCAGAAATTTTCATTTTTTTTTTCAAATTCCTATCAATAACTTGATTTTGGAGGGAAAAGGTTGGTAATGTTCCCACTACCAACCTTGTTAATGAAATATCTCTGATAACAATGAACACCACACAGTCACCAAAAGTAACTCTATCAAGTCTTTGAAAACTGATATAGTTTAAGAACAAAATTATGATATCTAGGTTGGGAGAGAAACTTTCATCGTTTGTGGTACCGGTGATTGCAATAACATTTTAAATCTAAATTTGTTGTGAACTGCGAGAAACGTACATGCCTAAAACTTTTGTCAAGCTACAGCAGTAGCTTGACAAAACACCGTAAGCTTTCTCTCCATCTTGGTATCAAGCTCTTACAGAATTCTTTGCTTAATCAAGTGTGAAACCGTTTCACTTGATTTCTGAGGCGACCCATAGTAAAGTCAAGTTATTCTTCTTTCGACAGAAAGAAAACGACTGCTGCGATTTACCCGTCGCCGATTTGACTGTCACGATGCTACTGCGCAGACGCACCTACTATTACGTAATGAGCCTTATCTTGCCCTGTACTCTCATAGCTTGCACCATCTTCCTAGAGTTTATTCTTCCAGCAGAGTCTGGAGAACGAGTGGGCCTTGGTATTACTATCCTTTTATCGATGGCCGTGTTCCAAGAACTGACCTCTGAGAAGCTTCCCTCAAGCTCTGAACACTTCCCTCTGTTAGGTGAGTGCAAGGGACCAGGAGCCGTATGTTAAGTGACAAGGGAATAAAATATTCTCTCGCATATGATAATATAACAAAAGGGAATGTTCCTAAATGCCAGTAAAACACTAGTTTTGGCTCTCCCCCCCTTCAAAGATACGCTTTGTTAAGAAAGAGTTGTAAATAATAATAATAATAATAATTGCTTTGTTAAGAAAAAGTTGTAAATAATAATAATAATAATAATAATAATAATAATAATAATCGTAACCAAAAAAAATCTCGATTTGATCGCTTGCACGGCCGCAAGGTATCAACGTTTTTCCCGCAAATGGTCATAACTACACAACTGTAAACAACAAGCCCAACTCAAAAAAAAAAAAAGAAAATGGTACTGTAGGGCGGGGGCAGCTCTAGTGAGAACTATAACTAGTAATAATAATAGACAACCGTGCATGTCCCTAAATACAGGTAAGGACCCCTTCTGTAGTAAATCTCGCCTACGCTTCTGTTAATACCTGTTTGATTTGCCTTTATCTAGCTATGTACTACTCAGTGTCCATCATGGAGATAGGTACAGCACTCGGCGCTACCTGCATCATTCTAAATTTTCACCACCGAAACACAAAGATGCCGAGTTGGTTCCAAAAGATCGTGCTTGAATGGCTGGCCAAGATCGTGCGATATGAGCCCACCTACAACCGGCATCCGGCCAGCGGTGACGCTTTAAATGACAGCACGCAAAAGATAATGCAATCAAACACAACTAGTGACAGGAAAAGAAACGACGCTTTTGATTTGGAAAGAGAATCAATCGAGTATGAAATGGACCTTTTCGAGGAGGCTCGCGTGGGACGTGACCAAGTGCCTTTGGCCCAAAATGGGAACATTTCAACGAATCACGTCACCAGGAAGCGCTCGGTCAAACGCAAACCGCAGGACTCTGAAACCGAGACTACGGAGGTACAGATATCGGAGGCGAAGTTTCCTTTGTATGACTTCAACAAAGAAGAATTTTACAAAAAGCAATGGCAGGATGCGGCCAGGATCTTAGATCGAGTTTTGCTGTTAGCGTCGGTTGTGATTGGGTCTGTTTCAGCAATGAGTATTTTCTTGCAATCTCCTCGGATCAGAGAACTGTTTATTCCGTGACAGAGAACTCAACACTGTGTTAGGAAAAAAGTTTTCAGGCTGTAAACCACGATTCCATGACTATTGAGTGATTTACCTTTGCTGTGGAAATGATAGTGATGCAGCTGGGAACGATTTTGCAGGAATCACCTCGAATAAGAAGGTTCTCCATTGTCCAGACGTGAAAACATTGAAAAAGACCATAAATTTTCAAGATTTCGTGAAGCCAACGATTTTGGCAAAACTTGGGTTTCAGACAATTCTTTCAAAAAAATTGGCTGCTAAACTAGTCCTGGGCAAGAATCTTCATTTGATCGATCACATCTGGCCATCTGCATGAAAAGTACCTCGGCTGAAACTGTTGACTCATCAATGCGCCTTGTGGCACCATAGCAATAAAATTCTCAGTCATGGTTTGGTGTTACTGATGCAGAATACGTTCAGATCTTAACTGTTGGAAAAATTGGAACGTGACTGCACGTTAAAAAGTTGACAAGACCTCCCCGAAACAAAATCCTGACAAAACATTGCCTGGAATTCAAACTTCGGAAGTGACGAATAAGGCAAACACTATATTTAATGTCTAACGAAAAGGTAAATTTTTATTTGTAAGAGACAAGGTCTGAATGGTGAAAAATTTGTGCCATCAAAACCTCTAACTAGAAAAAATGAACGGTCGTTGACTAATAGATAAGAACTCGTAAAAAACAGAGTACATTTTAACCTTGAGTTCGAAGGTAAGAGAACTCTGCGACATGTTGCATTGTTTTTTCAATAGAAGAGAGAAAACAATACTCCTGTAATAGTTCAATAAGGCTTTAGGGTACATGATCACTAAAAGTAAATTGTATGGGTGGATAAGGGACTGATGAAGTTCATATCATTACAATGGAAAGTTCACGGATTTTTAAAGAAGAAGTGGAGTGTGACGTGATGATTAACAAGCAGGAAGTGACAACACTAACAGATAAAACCCACTTTGAGGTTTCCAGATCAGTTACACTTTAATTTATAGAATTACCAAGCTGCATTCTGATTAATTGTTAGGATAGAGCAAGGCAAGTCACTTGACAAATCATTCAGCCTAGGAAGAATCTTGATGAAATCAAAACAAGGTTGTTTAGTTCATGATCAGTATTATTGTGCCGCATTTTAAAATACTATATAGAGTAATAGTATCGACCCATGTGCTCGATTTCCGTCGTTTTCTCAGAACTGTCTTCCGATCTTCCAAGAGATTATTAACTTGGATCGTCCGAAGAAGTTTTGAAGAAGAGCGCGGGCTCGTTTCCCGATCAGCGACTGGTAATAGGTTCTAATAGACCCATCGAAACTGCTGTAACACAGTGGTCAAACGTCGAGCATGCGCAAGGGATCAATTTTAGCCAGTCGAACGCCAATTTCTCGCTCAAAATTTCAAAGGAACACGTAATCCATCGCAAAATAAGCTGAATAAAATTGAAATGTACAGGAAAATCTGTAAAAGGAACCAAAAGTAGGGAAAAAGAAAAACTCTTCAAACACGAAGGGTTTTCAAGTACAGTTATTTTGTTTAACATTATGTTTTAAGCTTTACCAAAAATGTTACGCGCTTTTAAATCACAGTGACTTACCAGATGGGGTTGGTTGTTTGTACTTCGTGTGAGGCGATTTGGTTCTGACAGCCACCTTATCATTACAACATTCGCGCATGCGCAGACGTTTGACCGCTTTGTTAATTGCAGTGGGCTGTCATATCTGTTATAGTGTAATAAGTAGATTTGTAGGTTTTTCATAAAAGTTTAAATGTAAAAGACAAAAATACATAGTAACGAAGGCTGGCCACAGGGAAACAAAAGAGTTTTATCCAGAACTTGATTATTTTTAAAAGATATATTGAATTGACATGTAAAAATGCATCCTCATTGAGTATTTTTACAACTTCATCATTGTACAAAGAAAGGTGTTGGAGCTGAATTATATGTCACGTGAAGGATGTGCATGACCAACGAACTATGTTAACAGCCGTCGTGCTTTTGCGTGCGTGTGTGAGAGTGTATGCGTGCGCGCGCACGTGTGTGCGTATCCGCGCCCGCTTTGGTGAAAAGATAGAGCGAACGCGCAAGGACTAACGCGAAGGGGAGACCTCAGCTTGTGCACTTGTCATTTCAGCTGCAGCTCACATTTCGCTCGCGCAGTAGCGCTATGGACGATGATTTAATCGAAGCTTTGACCAACACGGAAATATGGATGAAACAAAAACTCGGTTTTCAGCATTTGTGAAAACCGTGACTATGTTGTTAACTTGAAAGAAGAACTTTTGTCTGACCATTAACTGTATTACTATCTCCCCCGCTGTTGGAAGCCGGTGGAAGCTCGGGGATCATGACGGGGGCAGGGCAACGGGATGCGTTCGGCGGAATAGGGATGGTGGTTGGGTTTCTGAAACAGGGGCTGCTTTGGAAGGACTGGACGGACAGGGGATAAAAGTCAACTTTCTCATGTAAGCAGTGATTTTTTTTGTTTTTTCGGGTTTTTTTTTTTGCGGTGCTTTTTTTCCAACCGTTTAACAGAACATTAGGATCAACGTCTCATTGTCGCCTTGACTAGGAAGGTTTTTCACTGCTGCAAAAAGAGTTCGATGAAATCTTGATAAATTTAACACCGTCCAGCTTTCATTTAAACATTAAAAACACTTGTGTTATATATTCATTCATTTGCTTGGTTATGAGGCCTTTTTAACAACCCGATAAAACGAGAGCTAATTAGTAAGGTTTTGTGTTGAGGTTGCAAACCAACGGTAAATATTGATATATAAAGCTCATACATCCTGGGTCTCTGTGTACACAGCTTCACTGAATTTAACAGGCCGGTATTTCAAGAGAACCAGTGTTGCCATATAAACGATTAAAAGCTTCTATAATATCCAACGCTGAGTCAGTGGCATCTGAATGAGATCCGATAAAAATCTCACAGGGAAGAACTATTTATAAATGAAACAACTAGCGGGGAAATTAAGAAATTGTTTCTATCTGACGAGAAAGAAAGATTTTATTCAATTTATACAGCTCTCAAGTGAATTGAGTTTCAGCCAATCATAAGCACGCTTTCATCAATTCTTGAATTGTAGATAATTGGGATAAAGTTTTATCACACCAAGTTGTTATTTCGAATCTATCATTTAGTTCAGACGTAGTTTCGAACAAAGAAAGGCAAGAATGAGGGCGCAATAATCTTAGAGCACATCTCTCATTAACGCTGGGTGATGAAACCACGCAAGGTGAGTTGAGTCTAATTATAATAGGATCTTTAGCAATGTATTCAACGGTGGGTTGTTAAAAAAGAGATGGAAAGGAAGGAAAAACATAAAAGAGCAAGAATATATCTCTTATCTATGCATCAGTAACGCCATCTACTTATATCAGCACTTGCCTTCCATTATCTTATGAGGACAAAAATGTTCACTTTTCGCTGCTTCTAATATCAAGAATATTCAGCTCCCTCGCAAGTTTTTCAACGAATCGCTAAATAATCATTTTGTTATGTCTGATTTATTCTTTATCAGCAATGACGTATTAAGGAGACTGAATTTGGTGTAGTTTCCGCATTTTGTAAGTGATTTTTTTTTCTGCGATAATGGAACAATTTTTGCTTAGGTGCCAAAGGTTCTGTATTATTATAATTTTTTTGTTTTGTTTTGTTTTGTTTTTTCGGCAAAAATAGAAGGTAACCTTCACTACAAATATAATTTCTGTCGCTAAGACATATTTAAACATGTGTCAACCCTTGCAGCATTTTTCTGCCGAGAAGACCATGGAAACTAGTATGTAGTGCAGGAAAGACAATTTGTTGCGAACTTAATCGAAAAGAGTGATATGAAGTCCAGACATTCCCGGTTATTCTAATTTGAAGCGAGCCTTACTTGGAATTGTAAGCGGAGGCGGACTGCGGTCGGCTGCGGTCGGCTGCGGTCGGCTGCGGTCGGCTGCGGTCGGCTGCGGTCGGCTGCGGTCAGGCCCAAGTATGCATGCGGATATTTTACATGAACAGATCGTGATGGGCCGAGAAAATTATTTCAATCTGAAGAATAAGAGAAGAGTTGAGATCGGTCATAGATCGAAGTAGACTTTTACAATCTCTCTTTTCTATCCATTTCCTCGACCATTTGGGCATTGCTGATCTTGGTAGTATGCAGTACTCTTGACATAAAATTAGTTATAGTTCAGCTCACAATGAAGTTCCCGGTCATTATAAGGGATATTTCCGGAGCACAAAATAGGGAAGGTTTGGGAATCGACTCCCTTTTAGCTAGCTGATAAACTTTTCCTCAAACTCGTGACAAACATAAATAATATCTTAGTTCATTTGAAAGGTGTTTCCATCAGTCTCCTGTCATTCACCTCTGAACAGTCTACATATATTCCAAATGGCTGGAAGTGTGGAGAACAGAGTCCAAATAAGTTCGAAGCACGAGAGATTCAGAGAGGGCAAATAATACAATATTCTTAGAGCAAAAAGGAACCCGCGAATAACAACAGTCGCGTGTGACAAAATTATTCGCCTTCTATTTTTGCGCTTAAATAGTTGGGCTGCTGATTTCGATCAACGAGCCATCAAATTGGAGTCATTTAAGCTGCTTTAACTCTTTTGAAACTTTCTTGCAGCAGACAATCAATTAAGCGGAAACGATCGATTGTGACGGTCTAATAAATTTAGCATAAAAATCGAGTTGAGAAGGATATAAAAAGACTGCCCACACGTGATCTGAGAGACAGAAATAAAATGAAAGTCCGCCTCAGCAGGTTGTGCTTGTCGATTTCTTTTTTTTTTTCTTGTTCATAAATCTCCTAGTTGACTTGTCTTCAATAATTATTTCTGATTTCTCATTGTCTTTTCCCTTATCGTTTTTTCAACGTTGAATTGACTCAAGAGTGGGTGATTACACACCACGTGCACCTCATAGCTTAGTTCGGGTATCGTGAGGAAAAAACGATAAGAGAATTCACAATCATAAACCCAAATCGAACCCCGTGACCAAATATGGTAAAGGGAAAATGATTTTTTTTTTATTTTTTTATTCCATTTTCGTGCTGAAGACGACGAGAGCCTTTAATGAAAAAGAAAAGACTCGAAATCTCAGACGTGACTCCGGGAAATTACACGTTATCATTGAAAAATCTCTCCACAGAGTTATTCCGCTTGAAATTAGCTGAGAAAAAGGTGTGAATGAAGCGTGTGCGCCAACGACTTCCGGTACAAGCAAAAATTATCGATGACGTTGCGCGTTGGACTTTGCGCTATCTGCCTTATCGTTATGGCAACAAACGTTATTTCCCAGCATGCTTCCCTACACCTTTCTTTTTTAACAACTCACTGTAATGGAGTGAGCGAGTGGTGAAGAGGGAAGTTCGTACGATCGAACACGCCTTTCTACTCGAAAAACTCCATACAGTTCAAGGAAACTTGTTTCTTAGTATCTTTTCTGTCGAGAGAGCTTAACCCGTTGATTTGAAGCTGAATTTGGACGTTTGGATTTAACTTCGTTTTGTTGATTCGCGACACGCCCGCTCGACGAACGCCATATTGGTTGTATTTCACAACTTTTCCTGACACAACATTTCCTGGAGAGAAGATACGAGCAGCCATTAGGCATAAACACTTTGCTTCTGAAAGTTTACGGGAAAGAGACGCTGTGGAGTTAGTACCATTTCCTAAAGAGAGATTTGTTTTGGAGAATCGTTGGAATAAAGTTTGACTTGGCGCGCTTTGCTTATTGAAAGTACTCGTGGTTTACCGACTAGCTGCTTCAAGAAAGACAAACATTTCAGTTTGAAAATAAATAAAGTACTAAGCACTATGACAACGAGGTCTGGAAAGCATTTTCGAGGGGATAAGAACGTTATGATCCACGACAAAACTGGAAGGGTAATTTACATGTTTTGCTTTGCACGTTTCGTGAATGTTACCTCCCATGTGCCTTTCATGTGTAAAGAGTTAAAACAGTCTCCTTAATACTTTGCAATTCCCAGGGCTTGTTTTTCACGTGCTCATACCGATTGCATATTTTTATTTGCAGATTCTGATTTCATGGAATCGCTTTGCAAGATCGCTGAAGGAAGCGTTTGAAATTTATTGGGAAACCAAGCAGGTAGGTTTTGCTACGAGAAACTGTTTTCGTCATTAGATGATTTGACGATCGAGCGAGAGTAGTCGTTTGTTTTGCCAGAAATCGCCAAATTTCTTTGCACAGTTGTATCGACATGTGCACGCAATTGAATGCTACAGAATTTTTCAGTCGGATGTCATTGCTCATGTGACAATAAGTTACGATTTCCGTGTGAACATTTTGTTATGAATTCGGATCCTGCTCCAGTTGTTAGTACTTTTCCCTGGGGCCAACGAAGCGTAAAATTATTCCAACGTTGCTTGAATAATTGATAAGTCGGGCTCTTGTAATATTCTCCTTCTCCCAGCCTCAAGGCGTAATGTCAGGCTTATTCATTGCTTCAAGAAGGTATTCATTTATTATAAAATCGGATACTAATGCGGCATCGTTTTTGCGCAATGAGATGACGTGCTGACTCAAGGGAGGTCTGCGACATGTAAAGAACACTCCGTTGATTTGCATCGGATATTAAAAACAAACTGTGACATTTTAATTAACTGCTGTGTTGTGGTTCAGTATTTCGAAGGAAATGTATTAAGATTTCAGCCTTTTTTTGAAGTTCCTCTTTTGCTTGAGGATGTACCTCGAGTCAGAGAACTTACTGGAACTTGATACACTTCAAAAAGGTCACGCACATGCATCTGATCTGCCACGAAATGGGTGTGTTGTTTTCAAACCGTTCGAAGTCTGCCTGAAAGATTTGTCAAATTAGTAAATCAAATTCTAATGTTTTTAGAGTACAAGTAGATTAAGTGTAGCTTGAATTTGGTCTTCTTAGCTGCGGTTAGGGTGCTGACATTTTGGGAAGCAGTGCCAATGCCAAAATTAATCGCTTATCATGATCACTGAATCACGAAATTAACATTTGCTTGAAAAGGCCTAATAAAAATTGCAACAGTGCTAAATTGGAAAATTGATGCAAACTGCGAATTTCATGTTCTTTGTCAGGGTAGTTTTTAGGAAGTTGCATCTATATCAAATGGGAATGATAATTCAAAACATCTGCAAATCATGCTTGTATACACATTCTTGTTTTGATTGAGAGATTAAAGCTTTGTTTGCTGCAAATCTCTTTTTTTCCATGTGCTTTAACCTTTTTATATATATATGGATTGTAATCAAGAAATTGTTTGATCGATCATGACAAACTGTTACAACAATGACAGCTCTATCAAAGAATGCCTTGTGCAATATTCACAAGAGGTGTCCATTTTCACATTTACTCTTGTCTAGCAATTATTTGTATCACTCTGTAATCTGTTTTTGCAAAAATCCATGATCCTTAATCTAAGATGAAAAAAAATTTCAACTTCAGTGTTCTTAGTGATGTAGAATTGCTTATTTTAATACAGAAATTTATCACTGGAAGGTGATTAATCTAGAAAATAGTTAAAAAATTTCAGCATTTCTTTTTTTAGGTGCCTTTCAATATTGTCAGTTATAGGTATGTGGTTGAGGAAGCTAGAAAGGTGCAGAATTTTCCTGATATTGAACCCTCTGCCACATTCTGCTGTTATTCTTGAATTTCTAAAAGGATCAAATTGGTACAAAGGTTGAGTTTTCTGATCTTTGCTCAACCCCTGTTTGTTTGAACAAGGGATAAAATAGGTTAAAGAAACATTTTTTGAGCCATCAATATGGCTTGCTTTATGTTGAAAATGATTGATGCTTGTTTAGATAGGACTTTAGAGGGAAATAGTCTCACAACTTTAATTTATTTTTTTTTCTCTCTACAGGCTGAAGTAACCTCCTGGTTTGAAGAACTACCAAGAAAGATAAAAAATATTCCTTTCAAGGACACCTTATTGGCTGCCATTCCATTTCTGTCTTATCTATTAGTCTATTCGAATTATTCACTCCTACGAACAATTTTAGGACTTGGCAAAGTGACAAAACCCAACCATACTTTCTTACCATGGATGGAAGTGTTAGTTTTCCATTGCCTTCCTCATCAAATGCTGGCAAAATTTGCACATCCCGCACTTGACTGTGTTGCTGCAGTTCCTTACATATTTCATTTTGCTCTTCCATTCCTGTTCATCTTATTCAAAATTGTAAGCAATCATAGCATTCGTGGAGTGTTTCCGTTTCTTTGGTGTGCAGGATGGGTGAATCTCGTCGCAACCATCATACAGTTCCTCTTCCCAACAGCACCACCTTGGTATGTGGACTCAGTTGTTTTTAGTCCCATGGGAGATGTTCTCAAAGCAGGAGCTAATGAAGCAGGATTTCACAGACTTGATGCGGCATTAGGTGTTCCATTCTTTCACGGACTTTATGCAGCTTCTCCATTGCCATTTGGAGCATTTCCTTCACTGCACGTGGCATGGCCAGCAGTGATATTAGTTAGTGGACCCTGGATAAATGAAAAGTTTGCAATGTTTCATGTTGTGTGGATCACATGGGCTGCTCTGTATTCAAATCACCACTATGGTGTGGATGCCGTGGGGGGAATTTTTTTGGTGTTTTTGGTCAATTTTATGATGCGTAAGGTGTGGTGTCCGTTTCCTCTTGAAAATGGAAAGAAACCCTCCTGCCATTTTTGTAGAAGCATATCACCACCTTTATTACAAGTTTAGCAATTTATAGATTTGGTGTCTATTTTTTAGGTTAATTTTCAAATTTAGACAAACTGAGAATTTGACATTTTAGCTGGTGCTTTCTCAGCCTTTTGGTTTTATTTTAACTTTTTTTTAAACCTTGATTTTGTTTTTATTTACCACAACCAACACAGCTAAAACTTAAAAATTACTTTGTTGTTATTTTGCAAGGGGATTCAATTCATTCATATGAGGATTAATTTTGAGTGAAGAATTTCTCAGTTTGTGTGTGTTGAAAATTGCAAAATTATGAAAAAAAAATATATCTTAGAGAGAGTGAAATAATATTAGTAGGAAATTTTATAAATTTCGGGCTTAAATTACTGATTGTTATGATCAATACTGAAGGTCTAGTTTGTTGATGATGAATATTCCCTGAGGTGTGAATTGTGATGTGTTTATGAAAATTGACTGGAGAATTGGTGTAGACAAATATGAGGTTCTGTCTTAAAGTAGTTTTTTCTACATGATGCACAAGAGCTAAATAATTAAAGAGAAATAAGTTTCTCAATATCTTGATGCTTCAACATGTGAACAACCACATAAATGGTTTGATAGTTAACTTTCCTACGTTTTCATTTTTTAAAATTTTTGTTCATAGTGTTGATGTAGTAGAAGCCAGGTGGAATAATTAGATTTTTTATTTCAATCTTTCTGTTTTTGTTTTTGTTATGGTTTACACAATTATTGCTTTGTTTTTCAATGACCACATTGTTTGTTGGTCCTTAATATAAAATATTTCAGTTTGAGTATAGTTATATCCTGAATAGTGAATTCACTTTACTCTCCATTATCAGTATGCATATTCCCATTATCATCCTCCACACATTCTCTATATTACTATCTAGGAGAATTTGTTGAACAATCAAGAGCTCTTGCTCTCATTCTGAGGTTTTTAGAGGGTTGCTAGTAACTTGATAGTACAGAATGTACACCTCTCCAGTAATTATGAATTTTAAGCAATTCAATTGCATAGTCAGGCTTAAACATATACTGACAGACATTCAAGAGTACTCCAATGTGAACGCTCTGCAGTAAATTTGGTTACATAATTATTATCAGTGATGTAAATTTGAAGAGGAGTACTGTAAACAACCTCTGCTGTGGTATTGTTAGCTTCTTGAAGTAATTGTTGGAGAGTAGTGAAATTCTTTTGCAACCTGAAAGTCGACTAAAATCGTTGTAGTTGGTAGGAGCCATTTCAATTTAAGAATTTTTAGAAAACTATCATTTTTAATAAAGATGTCACTGGACTGGTCCTCAAGATATACCTGTTGTACTGTTTTGCTTTTTTGAGGGGATTAGCAGAAATCAGATCAAGTTTGATTGGCTAGAGCTCATAAATACGCACCTGGTAATGTTCCTTCGATCCTGTGTGCCCTTAACACCCGAATATCAGTAAGGATATTCTCCATACTGTTCTTTATACATCTCCTAAGGTAGCGACTGACTAAAGCACACGAATAACGCTCGTCTCGCGTTATCACGAACACTTCCCATTTCAAACCATGAACATGTACGGCGCATGCACGGTCAGTACCAAGCCCTTATTTCTCTGGCAACTACACTCTTCCTGAAAAGCAATACTGATTCATATGTTACAACTTTTTTTTTTGCGCCTGTAGATGTTATTACACAACCACATCGACGCAGCTTCGGCGAAACAAAGAGGAAGTCGCTAAAGAATTGAAGTTTATCTCCTTTGGTACTTTCAATAATTTGTTATTCCTCTAGCATTAGAAAATGAGATCTTTGTAAAAAATGCTGCCTTCAGAGAATAAGATCTCTTGGACTGCCGTATTGGTAGCATAAGAAATTAAATAAGATTGGCGACGCTTTCATCAGCATCGATTAATAACAAAAATGAGATCATGTATTACCGACCCCTGGAGCGATTCCGCAGATTTGTCAGAGACACGTTGAGATGTCTTTTAAACAATTAACGCTGAAACTGCTGAGGTCACGCAAACAAGCAATTCCGAGATAAAAAATAAATTTTCTTTTCATTTTATTCCTTAAGTTTAACCAAAGGGTGTTCGCATATAAAAAGAAGTTTGATGACCAATGGCAGTTTACTGGAAAGGTTTGAAGTTTACTTGAGAAACGTCTGGAATAATGAAATACCTCTTCAACTGGATTCGGAAATAACGAAAGCGATATAAGGAAATTTGGTTCGCAAACGTCTTTAATTACTCTTTTCCCCTACGCAAAGTGTTCCCTCACGCAAACCAATTCTTCCCGATAAAGCGAACCGGCTTCAAGATTTTCACGGGACGGGATTTTTTACCGTTGCCTCAACATATTTCAAAATGATAGATTCTCTTCGCGTTGTGTTTCTATTTTATTTGATTCACATACTTTCCAAGAAACTCTTTCATGCCCATGAAAATACTGGATCATTTTACACTTCGGGATGTAGCTATACATCAAACATCAATAACTTAACTGTGCAAGAACATGGTAAGAACTACAACCTTCCCCTAGTTGCGATCAACTGCACCAAAAGAAACCTCAATGAATTCCCAGCAGAATTGCCAATTAACACTGGTAGACTACTCCTCAGTTTCAACGCGATTTCAAGATTAAACGCTATTGAAATGGAGAAGATTCGGCACGTGCGAGAATTGTTCATGGAAGGAAACAATATGTCATTTATTGGACAAAGGAGCTTTCTAAATAACAAAATGTTACAGACACTGAATCTGGGAGCAAACAAACTGACTGAACTCACCCCAGGAGTATTTGAAGGGTTAAAAAACCTACTGAATCTGTATCTTGATCGAAACTGGATCACTCAACTACATAATGGAACTTTCCAGAGTTTGAATTCCCTAATCAATCTTGATTTGAGTGCGAATGAAATTTTTGTAATCAGCGAAGGAGCATTCAGCGGCCTCAAACAACTGATTTATCTTGACTTATCTAGAAATAAGTTGGGTACAGTCTTACCGAATCATTTCAGTAAGCTTGCGTCACTTCATACACTGAATCTTGGTTTCAACAGGATTAGCTCTCTTAAAGAAGAGGCATTTTCTGAATGTACAAACTTGAAATTCCTTTCCCTAAATCATAACAATTTTACTTTTGTACCAAAAGAGGCCATGAAGCCGTTAAAGGCCCTTAAAAAACTAGACCTCAGTAGAAACGTAGTAACGTTTATTCCTTTGGATGTTTTCGTCACTTTACGTTCCTTGGAATTCCTCAATGTAAGTTTTTGCGAAGTTCGAGTGTTTCATGGTATGAATCTAAAGAAAATTATGCCTCAGTTAAAGCTTGCTGTTAATAACAACCCACTAGAATGCACTTGTGATATGCTTTGGATGAAAGAATGGCTTAACGATGATCCCACCGTATTTTATCACTGGCCACAAGTCAAGTGCAAGTTTCCCAAGAGGTTAAGCGGAAGAACATTGGCGGAGTTAAACAATTCTGAGATGAATTGCACGTGTGATCGTTGCCAACTGTCATTCAAGTGCTTTTTGGGAGAAAAAACGTGCAAGTGCGCGAGCGAGTGGGCGGGTCTATCATGTCTTGACACATGTCAATTTCATAATGACAGTATTGGCATGTTATATGAAATGGTGTGCAGCTCTTCACAAGGAAAATGTTTTTGCTCTAATATGTCCGAAGTCTGCGTAGAAAATGCTCAACTTATCAATTCAAACCTAACATGGCAGTGTGCTTGTAAACCTGGTTTCCAAGGAGACGGGTTTATTAACTGTTCTGATATTGATGAATGTACGCAAGCGCACAGTGTATGCGACAAAAGCGCTGACTGCATTAACACAGAAGGCTCGTATCGATGCTTCTGTCCAAATGGTTACCAGGGAGACGGAATAATCTGTCAGTCAATGAAACATCAAAATAAGACTGTGTCTATAGTTACAACCACGTTTTCCGTACTTGTTTTCGTTGTCCTGATCGTTGCACTGGGTTGTTGCATCGCTCCCAAAAGAATCCAAAAGATCAGAAATGCCAAACGATCCACGGACAGGAAGAGAAAAAGAAAACAGTCTACTAGGCGGTATGTTGACCTGTACAACGTTCACGAGTTAGGATTCACTAACATCGTTTGTACGCAAGGTAAGAGCGTGTTAGAGAAAATGGTGAACAAATGATTGAAACATAGGGTGCTTATCTGATGAGTATCCTTAAGTCTGCGCTTGAGTAATCTATTTCATCAGTGACACGGTGATCTAAAACCCGTCCCATTACCAATTGCGATGCACGCTTTTTTGGAAAAAGTGGATGAAATAGAAATGATAGTGTTGCGGTGGTACACAAGCGCACAGCCATAAGGTTGCCTTCATTTACTTATCTATGCAGCGCCTATGAAATGCACAATCACCTTCAGCAAAACTTACCAAATCTACTGCTGACCACATTTTTGTTACTAGAAGAATGTCTAAGAGATGACAAATGGGAAATCCCCCGTGAGAAGCTACACATCTTTGCAGCCATTGGAGAGGGTGCGTTTGGTGTTGTAATGGAAGGATCGTTAGATACAGGTATAAAATCACTCGATAACTAATTCTTCTGGTTTCTTTTAAAAAGACAAAAAGATCAACTCCTTTAGAGGCTTTTTATTTTTATTTTGAGGCCTTTTAAGCGCAGGTCTGGGTTATTCGAAACCCGATCAACGCTCCTCATGGAATGACTTGGAATGTACGTTTACTTTCTATCATTAGAAGCCTGGGTACAACCGTTTGAACTCGCACTTATGCGCTTGCGAGGTGAATGGCATGGAAAACAATGCAATTCACTAATTTTCCTTGTTTTCAGACGAAGGAGCTATAAAAGTAGCCGTAAAGACCTTAAAGCCAGGCGCTGATCGCTATGACTATAAAGACTTGATGGCAGAACTGTCAATCATGAAGCAGGCCGGAAGTCACCCTAACATCGTCAGCCTCTTGGGAGCATGTTCTGTGGAAGGACCGCTGTACTTAGTGATGGAGTTCGTTTCCGGCGGAAACCTGCTATGTTTCCTTCGAAAAAGCAGGTGTCAACATCCACATTATATCAATATCACCTCGTCTCTCAACGAGCGAGAATTGCTGAACATTGCCAAAGACGTCGCTGATGGAATGAGTCATCTGAGTAATCTAAACATAGTGCATCGAGATTTGGCTGCAAGGAATATTTTACTGACTGAAAACAAGATTGCGAAAGTGACAGATTTTGGACTTGCTCGAGACTTGCAATCAGAGGGTGTTTATACCAAAACTACGGCTGCGGGGAGACTCCCGGTGAAGTGGATGGCACCTGAGTCCATTCAATTCCATATATATACTTCCAAGTCAGATGTTTGGTCTTTTGGGGTGTTGCTATGGGAAATAATCTCAATTGGCCAGTGTCCTTACCCGGGAATTCCAGCGCGACTGCTGATGAGGAAGCTTGTGATTGGTTATCGCATGCAGAAGCCCTCTCAGTGCTCCGATGACATGTACGAGGTTATGAGAGCCTGCTGGCAACTGGATGCGGGCGCAAGACCTACTTTTGCTGAGTTAGCAAAAATCTTGCACGAGTTTTTAGCGCGGACTGGACGTGCATACATCAACTTAGAAGGAGCAGATTCGTATTTGGAGCAAATTCCGACAGCTTCTTTTGATTTGAGAAGCGAGTTTGAAAAAGATGAATCAGAAAGCAATGATTTTACCGAAGGTTCCGATGAGCTGGAGCGTGCGCAGATTGAAAACGATGTGGGAAGACACTCTGAGAGTTCTGCACATGCGTCATTTCAATTCCAGACTGAAACAATCCATTATATGATAACGAAGTTTTAAAAATAACGGAGAAGCTAAAACTACATTTATCGATAGTGTTAAAAAAAACTCAATGTAGATGTTATTTGGCAAGTCAATTACAAATTCTTATTAAGAAGAAAACATTTCTAAAATTACATAAAGAAATTCATGAGGAATTTCGGTAAAACATTTTCGAACTTATCCGCTGATAAAGCGCAATGACTTTGAACGAGAAGATTTAAAGGTCACAGGCCTGTGAAGGGAAAACAGGAAGAAGTTGAGTGACTTGCAAGTTTTGGTTTGTGACAAGTTTGTTCAGAAAACGACAATCACATCTTATGCTTCGTTTTAAACATTTTTCAAATTAATGTTTTTCAAAAAGACTTTTAGAGAGGTGAACACAGTTTGCAGTACTTCAGAATGTTTTTGAAAAACAGATGATGTCTTAATGGGTTTACCGGGTATCATGCTTTGATTATCAAAATTTACCAATGGAACATGTAATGATATGTATAAATAATACATAATTTTAGTTTATTGAACACGATGAAAGCCGAAAGGTAAACTGTGTAAATATGGAAAAACAATAAGATAGGTCTTTTGACGTTGAGGGGAGCATATATATGAACGAGCACACAAGAACCTTCCATTCCTCGACTTTGTTCCGCGCGAGGTGGAGTCTTTCACATCTTTCTCCTCAGACTGTTGTACTGTTCTTTATTTTATTTTAGCAATTTTTTTTCTATAAGACCAGCTAGAAGCCCATGAACGGGACACTAAGTCGAAACCCATCGAGATCGCCGTCTAGGTAAATAAAAAACTAAAACTATTGATTGATGATAAATACTTCTTTTATTGCCATGGCACATCTAACGCACGTGTATTAGTAAGATCCATGATTCAAGTTTGTCTCTTTATGCGTATTTTCCGTTTCTAGAGGCTCTGGACTTTCATCGTTTAAAATCAAATTATTTTTAAATCGAATTAAATATTCATGTTATACAGCAAGATATTATAATCTCTTGGTTTCAGCTATTCACAAATGCACAACAAATGCTCCATACTTCGCAAACAAAATCTGGGACAGGAATTTGAAACAAGGGCGAGTAAGGTAAATTAAAAAAGAAAACGAGAGCTCGCCGAACTGTTATTATAGGTTTCTAAAGTATGCAACAATGCAAGTGTTATTTCACATTAATCTTATACATTAATAACACTTTCGCTTATGTTTTTAACATCCAACTTTCGCGCACAAGAAAATCTGAGGGGTCTCTGCTTAGTAGCGGCATCACTAAACTCCCGCGCAAAAAAAATTTGATGAAACAGAAATTAAACAGAGGTCTTCTGCTCATTAGTGTCGTCGCTAAACTCTACCCCAGACCCCATTTGTTCCTCACTGACAGTGATATTGACGTAAGACCTCGCCGATTCGGACAGCATCTCCGACAAGGTGCCGCAAATTTCGGGGAATGTCGGTCTTTCTTCGGGATCCAAGCGCCAGCAAGTTTTCATCAATCCGTAGAGTTCGTCAGAGCAGTGAGCTGGCTTAGACATACGATAGCCGCATAGGAGTTTCGTTAGAAGAAGATTTACCGGAACACAGGGATACGGGGAAGCCCCGATGGTAACAATCTCCCATAGGAGGACCCCAAAAGACCAGACATCCGAACGGGTAGTGTATATCTGATCTTGAATGGATTCGGGGGCCATCCATTTTATGGGGACACGCCCCACTCCAGTCTTAACGTACTGCCCATCGCCATAAACATCACGCGCAAGTCCAAAGTCTGCCACTTTCGCTTCATGTTCAGCGGTGAGGAGAACATTTCTAGCGGCAAGGTCTCGATGGACAAATTTCTTCAGAGCAATGTGATTCATTCCTCGAGCACAGTCCAACGCAATCTTAAGAAGATCACGTGAACTCAGCGTGGAGATGATATTCACGTAGGTCTCATCCGCTGGACGGCTGGAACGCAGGTAATCAAGTAAGTTTCCACCTGAAACATACTCGGTTATTATGTACAGCGGTCCTGGTGTGGTGCATGTGCCAATTAGGCTGACGACATGTGGGTGTTGTCCAATCTCTTTCATCATATCCATTTCCAGGAGTAGATCCTTGTAATCAAAGCGATCAGCGTGTTCTTTAATGGTTTTCACTGCAACCTTTATGGGGCCGTCATCTGTAACAGTAAAGGAAAAATTAAGACCTCAAACTTGTTTTCAACAGCAAATCACAAACACAGTGTGGCTGAGGCACACTCCAACCATCCCAACCTAGGTCGGGGAAAAATTTAAAATGAATATTTCCCCCATCACTTTTTCCTGTGCAGTCATCTCTACAGGGTCCAGTAGCATCAATAAATAAAAAAGTGTGGTCCGACATCAGAACAAACCTTCTACTGCTAAGACAATAGCGTCCACAAAGGCACCTTAGTGTCCGAATTCAGATATTACTGTCCAAAATTGGACACTAGTGTGTAAAATCAGACACGAGTTTCTACAAGCGGATAATCGGACACTATCATCCAAAATTGGTCACTAGTGTCTAATACTGGATAATTGAGCACAAGTGTCCAAAATCGTCACTATCATCCAAAATAGCACTCTAGCGCTTAAAATCGGACAATAATGTTTAAAATCGGACACTAATGACAAAAAAATCGGACACTGGTGTCCAAAAATCGGACACTTGTGTCTAAAATTGGACACCAGGGACCAAAATCGGACATAAGTGTCTGAAATCGAACCGTAATTTCTTATGTGTTAGGCTTGTCCAAAATCGACATTAGTTTCCAAAGTCAAACTATGAGTTGGGTGCTTTTATATTCACTATTGGTAGGCGTGTCTAGGCTTACCTGCCAAGTCATTTTGAAATCATTAAACATTTGTTGCCAGAGCGAGAACCCAAACAATTTTACAAAAAGCTAACAAATAAACAACAAAGGGGCTTAATGCTTCCAGTCAAACAATTAATCTTTGACGGCCACCGCCAAACACAAGAACGTTAGTGTAAGCGCGAGGCAGCGTCAGTAGACAAACTTAGCACGTCTACTGATGAAAGTTAGAAAAACAGTCACAATCAGAAGACTCATTGCGATAGCATACGCCATGCAAATAACTCTAGAGCTTGAATTTAGGTATTAAATAAGTATCAAATATAAAAAAAATCAGTAAAATAGTTTTTGACTTGATACTCCACACCACTTGTGACATTTTTTTTTATCGTTTTCATTAGAAGCTGTAAAAACTTTGTTTTAGGCTTACGACACTCAATGGACATTCACTCCATGTACTCACCAGTCATAAGTGTACCCTCCAACACCAAACCAAACTGGCCTTCCCCGAGTTTTTGACCAGTTAGAAGACGGTCTCGCTCAATTTCCCATTCATCAGTGTGATCGACTGTACCGCTTGCGAACGAATGCAGATTACCGCCTGAGGAGTAACAAAATATGAAAGACGTAATTTAGGTCGGAATAGAACTATTATTAAAAAGATTTACGATTGAGTCATTAAATAGGCCCATTATGCGTTTATGTTTGCGTTGCCACTATGAAGCTCTAATCAATGAGTTTGGCTCGTCGTCTAACATCAGACAATGCAAGTGTTTATATGAAATAAAATTCGGCCATACTGATGCTTCCAAATAAACATTTATAAGTTACAGTCCTTTTCGATGTAACCACGTTCTTTCAATAAACAAATATGGTTACGAGTCGCGTGAATAAGAAGGCTCTACGAATTCCACCAGCTACCAACGGATTGATTGCTTTACCTAACTCCAAATGATCTCTGTTTCCTCTGTGATCAGCTCCACCACTCTGAGTACGGGTTCTCATCTCAATCAAGTCCTCCAGTCCAGGGACATATTGTGGATTGCTTCCCCTTTTGGGCTTCTTCTTCCTTCGCATTAAGTAGACGAGTAACACTGCGATGATTATTAGCACAAATAAGCTCACTGCGAGCGCCACAACGATCACCAAGCTGTTTTGAAAACCTCCGTCGGAGTGGGAGTCTGCTGTCGGATGTGTTGTGAATAGGTTCTTCTCGCTGTAACTGCTTGTGTTAAAAAAAGAAATAGCACCTAGACAAAAACAAAAAAGACAGAAATCGTCATCAGCATTGTTGCCATTACCATCATCATCATCATCATCACCATAATCACAGTGACTATTTTCCTAAAGAAACATTAACTATATGAAATTAAAATTATCACAGGGATCACAACACTTAAAATCTTAGGACTAATCGATATACAAACGCCCCAGCAGGTCTATCAATCTGTACAGTAGAAAAGTGACAAGAGTGAGGAAAATCATCAAACAGTGCATATTGACCTCACACACGCTTTCAGATCCTAGTAATTAACGAAACATCAGAGACATTCTCATTAAAAACTGTCACCAAACTTCTGTTGTTGTGGTTCGTTTGTTTTCGTTTGTTGTCGACGGCGATTTTAAAAAAACTTCAAAGGACGTTCACTTGTTGAATATTCGATCGTGGCTGATAAATACAATGTGGGCTCGGAAAGTTCTGCCATACTTTGAACACTAAATAATGAAGATTTTATGGTTCTTTAGTACTTACAGATTGCCTAATCGAGTGGTAATGGGGGCTGAGTGTTCTAAATCAACAAGACCGTCATACCTACACGAACCAAATAGTTTGCATGAGGTGTCAGCTCTCTCAAAGTTGCTCTTGTTTCGTTTGGTTGCAGGTTTATAACCTCCCAGTCCTCGCCATGAATCCCAAATCGTTTATATTCCACTTTAATTAGCTTTGTTTTAGAAATATCCACAGCAGTCCATGACACGGAAACCTCTGTACTAGAAATGACTGTTATTTTGAGATCTGTCGGCTTTTCTGGTTCTGGCATACAGGAAACACCATCCCCAACGAAGTCCGCGTGGCATATGCAGGTATATGAACCTTTACGCAAATGAAAAAAGGTAGTTAAAAATAATTTTTTCAAACTAATTAAATCCATAAGGTAATTATAAATATATTCTGTTGGTGGAGTAAGCGAGCAAGTCTATAAA